GTGTCTGTGTCGGTGTCTGTGTGTGTGTCTGTGTCTGTGTCTGTGTCTGTGTCTGTGTCTGTGTCTGTGTCTGTGTCTGTGTCTGTGTCTGTGTCTGTGTCTGTGTCTGTGTGTGTTGTGTGTGTGTGTGTGTGTGTGTGTGTGTGTCTGTGTGTGTGTGTGTGTGTGTGTGTGTGTGTGTGTGTGTGTCTGTGTGTGTGTGTGTGTGTCTGTGTGTGTGTGTGTGTTGTCTGTGTGTGTGTGTTCTGTGTGTGTGTGTGTGTGTGTGTGTGTGTGTGTGTGTGTGTGTGTGTGTCTGTGTGTGTGTGTGTGTGTCTGTGTGTGTGTGTGTCTGTGTGTGTGTGTGTGTCTGTGTGTGTGTGTGTGTGTCTGTGTGTGTGTGTGTGTGTCTGTGTGTGTGTGTGTGTGTGTGTGTTTTCTTCTTTTTTTTTTCTCTCTCTCTCTCTCTCTCTCTCTCTCTCTCTCTTTTTGCGGGGGGAGGCATGCCGCCCGGTCCCTGAGCCGGCATTCGTGTGTTCTTGCCAGGAGCGACCTTGGACAGCAGCCATTGCGGCAGCGAGGAGCTTCCGGACGAGTGCCCGCAGCGTGCACCTGCAACACGGTGCCTCCAGGCCCAGTAGGTTTAGGGTTTAGGGTCTAGGGGTTTGGGGGTTTAGGGTCTAGGCGTTTTAGTGTTTAGGGTTTAGGGATTTAGGGTTTAGGGTTTGGGGGTTTGGGGTTTAGCGTTTGTGGTGGGGCATTGGACTAGCTCGGTGTCATGGATTTTTTCAGGACCTCGACTGGACCATCGGATGGTCTGAGACCAAGATCAAGGTGCCCTGGGCGTCAAACTACGTCAAACTACAACCTGCCCATGGCATTCTAGAGCCCTAAACCCTCTCTATCATATATTAATTCAAGCTTTCATGACTCCGTGGTTCTTCGGCCAGTCCTTCGTGGTTCAATGCCAATCGTTCGTGATTCAAGGCCAATTGTTCGTGTCAAGGCCAGGCTGACAATTCGTGGTTCAAGGCAAGTTTCGGGCCTTGAGCCACGAGTTTTTTGGCTTTGAGAATCCTGGTTGAGGGCCCAATTTTTGGCCTTGAACCGTGAACCGTGGTTCAAGGCCAGTCCTTCGTGGTTCACGGCCAATTGTAAGACCAATCCTTCGTGGTTCAAGGCAAGCTTTGGCTTTGAACCACGATTTGTTGAAAGCGATTCAAGGCCAGTTCTTGGCCTTGAACCGTGGGGGGTTGTACAAGGGTGGGGAGGGGATTGTCCGAGCATCAATTTCTAAGGGTTAGGTCTTGGTTGATGTTCGAGGCAAGTCCGAAAAAACAGAAAAAATGCCCAAAAGCGTCCTGTAGCAGATCACCTCCTGCAGTCCTCTCAGCCAAGCCACACCCGACAAAGGTTTCGTAACAGATCGGCTCCTGCAATCCCTTTAACCAAGCCCTAACAAGAAAAATTGCCCAAAAACGTCCCGTATCAGATCGGCTCCTGCAGTCCTCTCAGCCAACCAGAGTAGACCAAGTCTTCGTGAGTAGAACTTTGTTGAGTGATTGGAGTCAGCGCCAAAGAGATGCAGTGGCAAGAACATGAGGTTAACAAAATTAGGTGTTTCTTTGGTGTCCGTTCATGTCAAATAGAAGACCATAAAGCTAAGAGTTGACGTAGATTTGGAAGGCACAGCTTAAACGACAGGGTATGAGCTATGAGCAACTTGAAGCTGCAGAACTTTGTTGTACGATTGGAGCAGTGTTATGGAATTCTTTGGGTGGGTAGGTATTATATCAGAGCCGTAAATATCACCTTACCATTGCCGTAACACTGCTCGATCCGGAGCTGCTGAAACCTAAACCCGAAACCCTAAACCCCGCAACCTAAACCCTAAACCCCCTAAACCCTAAACCCCCTAAACCCTAAACCCCCTAAACCCTAAACCCCTAAACCCTAAACCCCCTAAACCCTAAACCCCCTCCAAAAAACCCTAACCCCCCTAACCCTAAACCCCCTAAACCCTAACCCCCTAAACCCTAAACCCCCTAAACCCTAACCCCCGAACCTAAACCCCTAACCCTAAAACCCCCCTAAAAACCCTAAACCCCCTAAACCCTAAACCCCCTAAACCCTAAACCCCCTAAACCCTAAACCCCCTAAACCCTAAACCCCCTAAACCCTAAACCCTAAACCCTAAACCCAAAACCCAAAACCCAAAACCCAAAACCCAGCCCCAACCTTAAGTCCTGACCCTAAACCCTAAACCCTAAACCCGAAACCCTCAAATTCCTCAGGATCTGAAACTGGCTGCCTTGGTGACCTTCGCCGCAGGCACCGGGGTGACCCTGACCGGCACAGAGGAGCGAATCCTTGTGGGAATTTGGGGGTTTTGGGGGGTTGAGGTTTAGGGTTTAGGGTTTAGGGTTTAGGGTTTAGGGTTTAGGGTTTTAGGGTTTAGGGTTTAGGGTTTAGGGTTTAGGGTTTAGGGTTTAGGGTTTAAGTAGGGTTTAGGGCTATTCAGGGGTGCTCTTTGCTGTTAAGCCCTGAACATCCTGAAGCCCTGGGACATCCTCAAAGCATCGGCTTTTGGCGCAGGCGATGTGGTCCGTGCAGCTGTGCGAAGCCTTCGAGGAAGTCTTCTCCAAGCGAAGGCAGGCGATTGCCGCTGGGACCAGATGCAAGGGAGAGACGTCGCGTTCCGGGCGTTTTTTGGGGTTTGTTGGGAGGTTGTGAGGGATCATCCGAGGCTTGCCCCAAAAACCCGAAAAAGTCTCCAAACACGCCCTGGTAAAAGCCCCCCCTGAAAGCCGTCTAAGTCCGACTCAGCACGCCCAGATCATGGCGGCGTGCGGCGCGGCCATCTTGGTCGCCGGCCTGGTCACCTTCTTCATCGGCCTCCGCTGTTGCTGCGCCTGCTGCAGTGCCGAAAGTGCCGAAGCGGCTGAGAAAGCCTCGCAGAGTGGGTCTGGACTTGTGATTGTATAGACTCGCCGACTGGGGAGGGAACCTTCCATGAAATTCGATGACTTTCATGTCCCTCTACTTGGAGGCTAGAAAGTTTCGACGTCTGAAGCAGGGAAGGAAATTCCCCAGATGTAAAGTAGCACGTTTGGGCGACAGCGCAACGAAGCACCAAATGCCCCAACGTGCAGGCTTGAAAAGCTCCCACATGTCCTCCGACTCGCCAGCAAAGCGCGAGGGTCTATCTTTGGGTCACTACCCTAAACCCTAAACCCTAAACCCTAAACCCTAAACCCTAAACTCTAAACCCTAAACCCTAAACCCTAAACCCTAAACCCTAAACCCTAAACCCTAAACCCTAAACCCTAAACCCTAAACCCTAACTCAGCAGTCGTTCTTCAAGTTGCCCCGCAGGACCGGCGGATGCACAGTTTAGAGCTTCAGAGCTCTGTACAGCTGTTCTTGTGTATAGACAGCCCTGGAACCCTACAGGATTTAACTCCCGGGTCGGGCAGACCGCTGGGGAGGGAGAACTTTCCATGAAGATATCGGCGTTTTTGGACCTACCAAGGAGTCTTTTAGGGAAATCCTCTCCCCCAGCTGCATGTTTAGAAGCCACCACGTGACGCGTGAAAGCCGGCACGTGTGCGCTCGCCTCCCATGTCGCGGCTGTGAGAGAAGCATAAGAGTCGGGTTGGAGGGGGTACCATTATATGTTTGGATGTTCCCCCGTATACTAACAGTCTTTAAATAGAGATGATAGTACCCCCTGAAGGACTGTTAGTATAAGGGGGAACATCCCAAATTATGTGAGTCGACGAAGCAAGAACCCCACATCCTTCACCCGCCGGGGCCTTCTGGAGGCGCAATTAGACAATCACGCAACTCCTGCGGCTCCACATAGCAAAGGAGGGAGGGTCCGTCCTATGTACAGGGCCCAAGCCGGGTCAGAACGTATAGTGGATGGTCCTGAGCCTAAAGCCGCATTTTCTGGGCATGATCGGACGCTTTCGAGACGACATGTTCTGCTCTGCTCGGGCAGTGGGGGTTCCGTCAAGTTGTGGATTTCCAGCTCTTCGCCTTCGTGCGTTCGTGGTTGTGGGGTCGAGCAAGCCCTAAAAACCCTCGGGCCCCACCCCCTGAACAAAAAAAATCGTTTGGGTGTAGGAAGAATCACCTAGACCCAATGCCTCAAAAGCGCCCTTGGCGCCACAATGCGGACGAAAAAACACCATCACCGCCGCTCGGGGCGCAAGCATTGAGGTCGACGCCGTCCATTCCACGTGGGATCCCAGACCCCCCCCTGGGAGGTTCCAAGAAGTAGATCCCCCTTAAGGGGCTTGTAAGAAGGACCCAAGAATCTAGGGTACGATTTTGGGGTTCTACTTCTTGGATCCTCCCAAGGTCTGGGATTGGACACCTTGGAACGTTATGGCTTTTGATGCTTTAGATGTTCCTTGTTGGCTCTATCCCGAGCACGCGAGCTCCTCGCTGAAGTTCCCACTTCCTGGCGACAGGTTCCCGGAAACTCGAAGGCTTATTCACCCCCGCTTCGAGGATGCATGTAGAGGTGCTAAGCTTAGGCTTTAGTGTGTAGGCTCGAGCAGGGGGGGGGGGGCGGGGGGGCGGCAGTGTCTGACTCGACTAGGATCCGTGGAAGTAGCTTCACTTCCTTTTTTGGTTTATGCCGAATCACAAGCTCGTATCGCCAAAGTGCTGACTATCGTCCAGTCGGGATCTCAGCCGGCTTTTTTGCAGGCTTCGAATTGTGCTATCTTGCGGGGTTCAAGAGTAAGAGTGCAGGGTTATTGTTTGTTTTTTTTGTTTTTTTTGTTGCTTTCTTTTGGGGGGGGGGGGGGGTAGGGGCGAGGAAGGGGGGGGGGAAGGGGGGCGTGGGGGGGGTTCATGTTCATGTTGGGAAGCTCCAAGTGCCTCCACACATAAACCTGCACCCCACGCGCTGAGACACGCATTGAGCCTCAACCCCACCACTTGGTTCAGTGCCAGCTGAACCTCGCAGAAAGTAGCGTCCCACAGCGTGGCCAGGGGTTTCGGGGTGTATGATTCACCTCCTGTGCCTGCTGGGAGTGGCCGTCTCTGCCAAAATGCTCAGCGACGCCCTTGGGGAGGAGATGTCGGAGACGTCGGAGACGTGCTCGCTCCTCCAAAGCGCGCGCAAGAATGCCCAGAGTGCCAAGTCAATCGCCGAGTCAGAGGTCAGCTTCAGCAACAAGAAGTCCCTCGTGGGGCTCTACTGCTATGATGCTCACACTCGAAGCACAGCTGCCTACACCACGTTCCAAGATGTTGCAAGCAGAGAGGTCTGCCAACAGATTTGTGCTGCACGCGCTGCAACTACCAGAGCTGCGAGTTCCAGCGCGCATCGGTTCGCAAGGATGTCACGCCGCCCTCAACCTTCCAGAAGGAACCCGCAGATGCAGCAGGAGAGTTGAGAAGGATTTCAGCGCCGACTTCCGGTTGAATGGCCAGTTCTGCCACAGATCTTTGCCGCACAGGTCGCCAATGAGAGCACATGCCAGAGCTTTTGCGAGAGCATCGAGGGCTGCGAGGTCATGGCATTCTACAAGGACCACCACTTGCCTCCACCTTAAGCCAAAACCTACCACACAACTGAGAAGCATTTTTTTTGAATGAGGTCGACCTTGGTGGAATCCCAAGGGTCCCTTGGAGCATCTGGGGATCTACTAGTTTTTGGGGTTTAGGGTTTAGGGTCTTGGGTTTGGGGTTCAGGGTTTAGGGTGTAGGGGTTTGCTCCGGTAATGGTAAATGTGTTTTGGGCTTCCATACTGCTACTGGCGAGTCTCTTTTCCTAATGAGGAAAATCCAGAAATAAAGAAAGGACGTCCTGTTGGGGATGTTAGGAATGAAACAAAGTACTACTTTTGAGAATTCGGTTGAGTAAACCCTAAACCCTAAACCCTAAAGACTTAGGGAGGTTGTTTAGGGCATCGGGATCTGCCACAAGCCAAAGCCCTGAACCCCACCCGAAACCTTAACGGCCTCTTTGTCCTCAGCCTCAAACCTCGCAATTCCGAGCTGAAAGCCTTACAAAAGCCTCTAAACTCTACAAGCTTACAAGCCCCCAACCCTCGGGTTAACCGCATTCTGCTGGGGAGAAATAGTTGTGTGACGCCAGGTGCAGAGCTCTTCATGCTGTCCTTGGTGTGGGAGCGATCTGAGGGGCCCCTAAAGCCGTGACGTCTGATCAAAAAAGAGGCTGAGCTCAAGTTGCGACCATCTTAAGCTCCTGCATCATCTGACCACCAAGCCTCATGTGGAGTCGGCAATCTGAACTTTATATGCTCTGTACATCAGGAAACCCTAAACCCTAAACCCTAAACCCTAAACCCTAAACCCCAAAAAGGGACTCCAAAACATGTATGGAGTTCCCCGTGCCTACACTGTCGCGGCTGGGCCCGTGCCCCTTCGTTGCACGTCCTTGCCAGGTCCTAGATGAAGCCTCTCTGGAGCCTTTTCGTTCTCAAGTTGTTTCCTAGCCGGACAAATCCACGCGAATCCATGGTCTCAGCCAGAGAGGTCACTCAGAGAACGTTTGTTTCTCAACAGTTTCTTTTTGAGGCAGAAGACCAGTAGAAGCGGAGAGGATTCTCGTTCTACTACTCTCGTACTCTCGTGCTGCAAGAGTGAGGATCACAACAAGCTAGCCCAAAACCCTGAACCCAAAGCCCTAAACCCTAAACCTCAAGCCGTAAATCCTAAACCCTAAAGCTGAAGGTGACTTGCGTTTTCGTGCTCCTGGCGGAGCTCGCGGCAGCCTTGCGCCAGGAATTACATCGGGAGGCCACCACCCGGAGCTTCCCCGAGAAGTACTACAACTGTGACTTGGGCTTAGGGTTTAGGGTTTAGGGTTTAGGGTTTAGGGTTTAGGGTTTAGGGTTTAGGGTTTAGGGTTTAGGGTTTCGGGATACAGGGCTTCTGCGCACAAGATACCTATTCTTACTATTCTTTCGTGTTCCTTGTTGTCATTCTGGCGTGATTTTTTCCGAAAACTGTTAAGGCCCTACAGTGAAGCTTGCAATACATCTTCCTGCCAAGAAGGGCTGGTTTTATCTAAATAATCTAAATAGTTTTATTATTTGGATTATTTAGATTATTTAGATTATTTAGATTATTTAGACTATTTAAAGTAAGAGGTGTAACGGCTGTAACGAAGTGATTCTTCAGGATCTTGTATTGCCGACTGGCGGATGCCCTAAACCCTGAACACTTAACCCCAAATCAAAACACCCTGAGCCCTAAACCCCAAGCCCTAAACCCTAAACCTGGGCGCATGCTTGTCTCACTCGAGCTACTTCACGCTGAGAAGTGGAGGCTGTCATCAAGCCCGAGCCCACAGACCCTCTAAAAAACCTAAACCTTGAAGCCCTAAACCCTTTAAGGCGTGTTACCTCCGATCTCAAACGTCTCGACGCCTGACCCTAAACCCTAAACCCTAAACCCTAATCCCCAAACCCTAAACCCTAAACCCTAAACCCTAAACCCTAAACCCTGACGGCTTCTGGGAAATCTTGGCTCAGATCTCAGGCTGGTGTGCCAAAGTTGCTTCGGTGGATGGTTGTCCCGACCATTCACACTACAGCCAGGACTAGGGCTTCTCGAAAGGTTCTCTAAGGGTTTAGGGTTTCGGGTTTCGGGTTTAGGGTTTAGGGTTTAGGGTTTACGGGTTCTACAACGGTTCTTTAAGGGATAGGGTGCTGGGATTTGTGATAGGTCCCTAAAGATTAGACAGATGAGCTTCCTGTTAGAGAGCGAGGGTGACTGGGGCTTAGGGGCCTTGCTGTGTTCTCTGACAAGGACCTAAGCCCTAAGCCCGAAACTCTTAACTGAACCCTGACCAGGATGGCACGCGTTTGTGGCTGGAGAGCTCCAACTGGTTCAACTGGTTCCATCTCAGAGACTGGCTGCAATCGGCGGTGTTGTTTTTCGTTGTTGTTGGCGTTGTGATTCTCTCCTCCCTCTTCTCTCTCTCCCTCTCCCTCCCCCTCTCGCTCTCGCTCTCTCTCTCTCCCTCTCTCTATCTCCCTCTGTCTTTCTCTCTTTCCCCTTATCGACCTCTGTCTATTCTTCTCTTTCCCATCTCTCCTTCTCTTTCCCGGTCACCCTCTCTCTGCGTCTCCCACTCTCTCTCTCTCTCTCTCTCTCTCTCCGTTCTCTGGTCCCTGCCAGACTCCCGTCGACCACTCTGCTAGAGGCACTATCGCCATGCCCACACACAACATGTTCCCAGGGTCTCTGCAGAAGCAACACGACATGAAGCAGCAGAGGCACTGAGGAAGTACTGTCGTTACTGTGGTTGTCTGCGTGCTGGCTGTATGTTTCCTTTCGCTTCACATCCGATGGCATTCCGTAGCACTTTATCAAAGAAGCCTTCGAGAAAGCTCACAGATCTACCGAGCCCATCTCAGGAGAGGGGAAGGAGCCGAAAGGCTATTGTTGCAAGCTCGAGTTCAATGAGGATTATGGCATGGAGTATGGGCAGTACCGCCGAGAGGACGGCTACCACAAGAAGGACATCGACATGTGCGCCGAAGAACAGCGCCCTGTGCCTGCCGGCACACGGTGCCGCGTGTACATCGGCGATCGTGCCCAGTCCTGCTTCTTCATCAGCAAGGCCACGAACAAGATCGACGAAGGCAGGCGTCGCCGCAGAGACAGCAAGGATATCAGAAAGATGAGCCCAATAGGGTACATGGACGACATTGTCGGCGGGCGCGACGCGGAGGGGAAGGAGCTCTCGGCAGATGCGGTCAGAGCTTTTCTAAAGAAGCATCATGAGAAAGGCAATCTTCCTTATGGTCCCCCGGCCAGTGTTTCGGCAAATGTTCCATTTTGCGGGAGATTCGCTCCATCTTCGATTGTAGAGTTGGTTTTTAACAAATACCAACGCAGGATGACAGGCTTGAGGAAGCTAAAAGTCCCTATATATAAGGATACTAAGACTCGAATGTACCCCAAAACCCACTCTATGTATTAAGTCCCTCATGAAACCCTACGTGTTGCATAAAAATGCCATAGAGCCTCCCCCCCTTTAGAACCCTTGAAAGGATCCCGAAAAAGGAATTCCCCTACGTTAGAGAGTTGCGGAGAGCTAGGCTTGACATGCACGGCCGACGACATGGATGCACTCACTTCTGACGAGGGCCCTTGTGTCACATATCGATGATCACGTAGGGTTTAGGAACTCCGGGTTTAGGGTTTCGGGACCTTTGCAGCCACGTAATATGCAGTTTTCTGTCAGCGTGGATCCTTGACAATCATGCGAGCCCAAAGCCGGCAATCTTGACGTGTGCTGTGGCACCCCCCCAACCCGACCACCCCCCCCCATAAAAAGCCCTGGGTTGAGCCCTTCACCGGTGAAGCTTGTGAAAGAACAACGGAACCAATCCGTTGACAACGGGTAACAATCTGCTTCATCAACGATGGACAAAACAGCAAGTCCATGTAAATTTGCAGGCTAGAATCAAGTCCAAATAAAAGCCACCAAGCGTGCAACCCCCGCAACGTTCTACCCTAAACCCCTAAACCCCTAAACCCCTAAACCCCTAAACCCTTAACCCCTGAACTCCTAAACCCTAAACCCCTAAACCCTACACCCTAAACCAACCTTAAACCCCTAAGGGCTGCTTTTCTTAAATCTTCATGTTATGGGGAAAGAGCGGAAAAAGCAGATGTTACTGACACCCTGGGTTTGGCAGGTGGCGGCGTAGTAGAGCGCAGCGGGACAGCTACCCTGCAAGCGAAAAAGAAGCCCCTAAACCCTGAACCCTGAACCCTAAACCCTAAACCCTGAACCCAGCAGATCTGAGCTCCAGAATCTGTACATTGGATGCTCCAGCGATCGGAAGCTTGGAAGTGCAAAAAGCGGCTGTGGCGTTGTAGGGTTTAGGGTTTAGGGGTTTAGGGTTTAGGGTTTGTAGGGTTGCCTTTACCCCTCCTGCTGTGTTAAGGACTTATGTCAAGAAATCATAATAAGGAACCCTAATCTGTGGGCTTCAGTCAGGGATCAGGTTTGAAGAGTTAATTGACCCCTAAACCCTAAACCCTAAATGCTAGCACCCCAAAGCACCTCAAGGGCCGGAAGGAAGCAAAGGGCTCAACATGGAGGTCGCACGACTTCGTAAACATGCCCACCCTAAACCCTAAACCCTAAACCCTAAACCAGTCGTAGGGATGTTTTGGGGCTTGACGTTTAGGTCTTGTTGAGTCAAAGGTTTTGGGGGTGATGTTGGGACTTGGGGTTTTTGGGGGATTTGGAGATTTGAGGTTAGGGATTCCTGCGCTGCAGGTGTAGGTCCTAGACCCTGAACCCGCGTGCCGACAGGGTCGCCTCGTCTGAAAGTCTGAACTCAAGAGCTTGGGTGCGTACGAGCTTCAGTGTTTAGGGTGTATACCAGGGTGAGTGTATATAGGGCGCTTTCTGAACATTGCCACAAAAGCATCCTGCGTCGTGAAAGTGTAGCAATGCGTTTCGTTCTTGCGCCATGGGGACCCCTTACCCTTCAACGTTCCCTCCAGTCTTGAATACTCAACTCTATGTGCTTCCGTATAGCTTTGAGCTCACGTATGAGCACCTGAAAGTTTGCTAACATGAACCTCGCCGAAGTTCCCGGTCTGTGCGGAATGTGCCTCACAGCAGCAGATCCATGATACACCGATTCTTCAAGTGTTTAGCTGCTTCCAGAACAGACAGTCACAGGAAGCATGCTGAACCATACCCTAAACCCTCAACCCTAAACCCTAAACCCTAAACCCTAAACCCTAAACCCTAAAGCACACTTCAGAGCAGTTTGCGAAGCTTTCCGCAAGACGCTCCGCATGGACACGGGCCGCGAAGGGCGCCTTGCAAGCCCGGCGTGCTGAGGCAGGCAGAGCCCATTCGTGCAGAGTAGCGAGCCCTTGAGATCTACTAGGACCTGGGGATTAGGGTTTAGGGTTTAGGGTTCAGGGTTTAGGGTTTAGGGTTTAGGGTTTGGGGTTTACTGCACCTCCCCTCCCCCCACCCAAACGAGCAATCCACGCCCAGAATTTCCAAGGCCGAGAAAGTCTCGCAGCAAAAAGCCGGGGGATGTGTCGGTACCTGTTGGGGCTTCCGTTGAGCCTGGCTCGAAGACCTTGTGTCCCAAAATGTGTGTGGGTTGGGGATGTGAAGCGAAAAACAACTACGAATGGCTTACATGGTTTCGCATCGCCCTTTGCATCCCCCAGGGGCCCCCCCAAAAAGGCCCAAACCGTGAACTTCCTAAACCCAAAAAAGCCTCCCCCAAAAACATTCTGATCCCCCTAAGCCCTCCCGGTTCCAGCTGGTGCCCAGACCTTCGGTCCTCTGTGTGGTCCGTGTGCGTTTCGGGGTGGAGGGTTGAGGGTTATTGTTGGCGTCCCTGTCCGAATTTCCCGGGCCAGATGTTCAACTCTTGCAATATCCAAAGCAACAACCCTTCTTCCTGAACCCAAACCTACAACAATCCTAGCTGTTGCTGAGTATTCTGTTGAGGCAGGCCTAAACCCTAAACCCTAAACCATAAACCCTAAACCCTAAAAAGCCCCCCGAAAAAGCCGCTTCGAAGACTGAAGAGGACCCTGGCTGCGTGGGGGAAGGACGGAGATGCCGAGGCCGAAGGAAGGTCCCTAGCAGGCTTCCGGGTTTCGGGGTTTCGGTTTTTGTTTGTTGGGGTTTGGGGTTTAGGGTTTAGGGTTTGGGGTTTAGGGTTTAGGGTTTGGAGGGTTTAGGGTTTGGAGGGTTTAGGGTTTAGGGTTTGGAGGGTTTAGGGTTTTGGGGGGTTTAGGGCTTTGGGCATCTTTGGGGGGTTTTGGGGGGGCTTTCGGGTCGATGGACAAGAGCAGGGGAGCAAGGTGGCTTGGGGTTTAGGGTTTAGGGTTAGGGCTTAGGGTTTAGGATTAAGGGTTTAAGGGGGTAGTCGTCCCTTCAACCACGCCCGATCGCTTCTGCGATGTTCGGGAAACAGTGCAAAGCCCTAAACGACCTTTAGGCCAACCCCTAAACCCTAAACCCTAAACCCTAATAAAAGGGCTTTTGGCCCCACGAAAATCCTAGAAAGCCGAATAAAGCACCACGAGGTCTTCCGAGCCTCTACCCCTCTAAGCCCTTAGAACCCTAAATCGCTTCGAAGTCTGGCACTTGCGCTAAACCCTAAACCCTGAACCCTGAACCCTGAACCCTAAACCCTATACCCTATAAACCCTAAACCCTAAACCCTACGAGGGAGCACCTGCTCGAGCACTTCCACCTCCCCAAGCCTTCGCGCTCACTCCTGAAGTTCGTCGCAGTGTGGCCTCGGCGTGGTGTTAGGGTTTAGGGTTTAGGGTTTAGGGTTTAGGGTTTAGGGTTTAGGGTTCAGGAGTGGAATGGAGGGGTTATATAGGGGGTTTTCTCAGGGCTTCGGGGGGCTTGAGGGGATTTGGGGGTAAGAGCGCTGCGCAGCTTGAAATGCCGGGGGGCGAGGGTTGAGGAATTCCAAGAAGCAGGTGAAAGAGAAGGGCAGCCAAACTTGCTTCCGCAAAACCCTTGCCTGGATTCTCACACCCTTGAACCCCGTAGACCCTGAACCCCGCAACCCGCGAACCCCTAAGCCCTAAACCCTAAACCCTACACCCTAAACCCTAAACCCTAAACCCTAAACCCTAAACCCTAAAGTCCAGGGCTCCGGAGTCTGAACAGGGTCTCGGAATCTGAGTTGCTCCAGATATCCCCAAAATGCTTCCAAGACGGGCCTCACTCAACCCCTACTAGTCGGTTGCAACCCTCTACAACCCCCCCTCAAAACCAAAAAAACAAGTACAAGGATCTAAACCCGAGACTCCAAACTAAACCCCCAAAAAACTCCCAACCCCCAAGCTTTAAACTCTTAAACCGACTCGCCTCCCAACGCGCCCCACACGTGTCGCTGAGATGTTGGTGCCTAGCCCTGGCACTCTGCATGCCAGTATTCGTTGCAGCCTGCGTGGCACACTACATGCCAAAGTCAAAGGCGTACCAGGAGCTGGCTGTGTCCCTCAGACTTGCAGGTTTGGGGCTAGGGTTTAAGGTTCAGGGTTTCGGTTTAGGGTATGGAGTTTAGGGTGTGTAGGCTTCATGGATTTGGGTATCCAGAAGCCACACTACACTGTCTTTATAGGTACCCTCCCGTTCCAGCATAGCAATAGATATCGTCCACCGTGCCGGGCTTCTACAATTCTAGAACGTACTTGGGTTTCCGTGCGAACCGACCAGACACCAGCTGTATGAGCAGCCATATTATGCAAGCGAGCTCCTTTGCAAGACAGGTTGGAAGCGAATCGGACGTGCTATGTGGCAAAGGTCTGCAAGACTGGCAAAAGCTCTGCCAAACCCCAAACCCCATAAAGCTCTGCCAAACCCCATGTTCTACACAAACTTTGGAAACCATTGAACGGAAAAGCCGCAAAGCAAGCTCTGCCGGCCCTAAACCCTAAACCCTAAACCCTACACCCAGAATCAGTAGTTGCAGCCGAGGCTATTCAGGCTATTCAGTGTCTTTCCTCCCGCCCTCTTTACTGCCGTCTTCACTACCGCCGGATTGCTGGTGATCTGCGGCTCCTTGTCCCCAACCTTCTTTAGGGTTTCGGGTTTAGGGTGTAGGGTGTAGGGTGTAGGGTATTGGGTGTATTGGGGGGTGGGGGGGGAAAAGCAGAGTTGGAACCAGAGGCCTTGGGTATTTCCGGCGTTCTCAGGTTTCCGGGGGCGTTCTTTTTTTGCATACGGCGCGACATCGGAAAGCAAGATCCCATCCCGGTTTAGGGTTTAGGGTTTAGGGTTTAGGGTTTAGGGTTTAGGGTTTAGGGTTTAGGGTTTAGGGTTTAGGCCCCAGAACAAAGATTGCTCAGAGCTTGCTCATGCGGCTTCCAAATGTGGCGTCTTGCCGCTTGGGCTGTCGGGTTAGCTTGACTTTGTTTGTAGCAATCGTAGATCCTACTGGTAATTGTAGGTTACAGGGTTTAGGGATATAGGTTTGTTTTGGGGGCTGTATAGGGTTTATGTGCGTTCTCCATTTCTTGGCAGACGAGGACCGCAGGCCAAACTATTTCCGGGGCGTTATGGTGTGTATTGTTTTTAGGTTCTGTTGAGATGGGTTTAGCGTTTTGGGGGTTTAGTGGCCGAAGGCTCCTACCCTAAACTCTAAACCCTGAACCCTAAACCCTAAACCCTGAACCCTGAACCCTGAACCCTAAACCCTAAACCCTAAACCCTGAACCCATGCCCGCAGTCCGGCAGCGTAAGCTCCCCAACCCCCTCAAGAGCATCCCCCGCCCTTGCAAAGCTGGGTTTTTGGAGGCTTAAGAGGGCTCAGGGGGTGCTGAGATGGGGGTTTAGGGTTTAGGGTTTAGGGTTTAGGGTTTAAGCCCTAAACCCTAAATGCAAACTCCAAAGCCTTCTTCCAAGATTTCGGGGCTGACCCAGAAGCCCTAAACAGGTCCAAGCTCTGAAGCCTCCCCTCCTAAACCTCCCTAAGCCCTGTAAAGACCCCAAAAAAGAGGACAACTATAGGAGTCTGAAGAATTGCAAATAGTATTCCCTTATTGGTCCCTTTCTGATGATAGCATAGAAACCACCATTTTTTCTAGGTATTCAGGCTCCTGCCTCTCCAGTCTCAGCCGAGGTCCCCCCCTCTTGGTCCACCTGATCTTCGATCTGCTCCTCAAACTACTTGAGCCCTAAGCCCGAAACCCTAAACCCTAGACATCTCTGGTCTGGGTTCGGCCTTGGGTCTCTTAGCCTCATGCTCACGCTGAGATCCCCACAAAAGGAGGAAGACTCAAAGACTTCCAAAAGAGAGGGTTTAGGGTTTAGGGTTTAGGGTTTAGGGTTTAGGGTTTAGGCTTTGGGGGAACCCTTTCTGAGTCCTCAAGCACGGCGTCTTTGTGGAGGGCTTTAGGGTTCGAACACTTCTGTGAGTTTAGAGTTGAAGGTCGAGGGGCGCCGGCAGGCTCAGCGTTTTGTAGTTGCTGCGCCAATTCGGGGAGCTTTCTTGTACTTTGGGATGTTCCCCCGTATTGACAGACCGGAATCGAGACTATAATGGAGTACGAGAATCCCTACTAAGGACTGCTATAGAACAAGGGGGCGACCATCCCAAGCTGTACTTGTGGTGGTTTCTGAGGCGGGAGAAGGAGCGAAGTTTTCGAGAGATGCAGCTGGAGCTGGATGCCGGGCTGGCGGCTCAGGAGCCAAATGCCCTTGAGCCTTAAAGCCCTTAGACCCTGAACTGGCCCTGGACCCCTACACTCCGAAGTCCAACTATGTCCCTAACACCCCTTGGACCCCGTATAAACCCTAAGATGATACAACCTGTAGGGTTTCATGAAATCGGATTTGAGATGGGGTGTTATGATGCCGCGGTCGGGTTGTGGTGTAGGGTCTGTGATTGGAGGCGCAACCCACAAATACCGAACACATCTTGCTTTGCGGGCAAAGAGCGTCGGCAGTTATGCCATACGTGCGCTTGTTTTCCGCCAGACCAGGCGGCTCCCACTTGGGAGCCGAGATGCGGCCTTTTGTAGCCCCCTGATGGCTAACTGCCCTCCAGGAGGGGGAGGCGAGCCCAGAGGCAGCAAGAACAGATCTTCACGCATACCGAGTACCAAGCCGTGAGGCAGGCAGTGATTTCTTACGTTGAGCTTGTGTTGCGTGTGGCTCTTCTGGCCAAGCAGTCGACTTCGTGTGGCCCCGTTCTCGCTGGATTCACTCTAGCCCTTATCAAGCAAGACAGGCCAACGATGTGATGCGCGTCAATAGCACATGTTCGTTTCGGCGATCCACCGCTGATTTCCTGGCAAGTGTCGTGCTTGCGCATGACTTTATGATGCCGGTTTCTTGACCAAGTGCGCTTCAATCTTCACTGAGCTCATATTCTTACGATGGGAACTTGGACTGCTGGGGCAGGCTCCGGGAGAGTTTTGCTGATGGTGTTTCTGCAAAGCCCCGCTGGGCGGAGACGTGTGGAAACGCAGAGGTAGGCGTACCGCAGATGTGCCGATTGTTCTCAGCCAAGTGTGCGGGAGCTGAAAGACACTTATCTTCGATGCCGCGCAAGATACGCTACATTCTGCGATCTCAAAGTCGAAAAATCTCTCGCTCTCTCTCGTGCCCAAAGAGTCTCCAACACATCGCTGCACAAAACCAAAGAGGCCCTTAAGCCCTAAGCCCTTAATCCCTAAACCCTAAACCCGAAAACCTAAACCCTAAACCCTAATTCCTAAACCCTAAACCCTAAACCTTGCTCTGAGGCAGTGCCAAGTCTATTCCATGGCCTTGTCAGGCACAAGGTGGCCACTCTGCCGAACTTCAAGGACCGTTTCGAGGAGGTTTGGGGGTTTCTCGGGTAGGGTTCATAGGGTTCATAAGAGTGCTCTTTCTATAAACTGAATTATCTCAGCAGCAACAGACCCCAACAGCGTGGGATATCATCAGCCGGCGTGTAGTCGTTTGTGCAAACGGATTCGAAAAGGAAACCTCGCAAGATTGAAGCAATGTCCAGGTGTTGGACAGGCACATCTTTACGGCAAGAAAGCGGTGGCAAAAGCAAGGGCTAAAACTATAGGAAACAAAACTTGCTGCGTGCGCACATACAGATATCTTTTTGCGCGCAAAGATTCCGCCGGCCATACAACCTCGGTTGTCCGTCGCGGTCTTGTGACACAACTGCTACGTTTCCTGCGCGCGCTCGTGGACTTCATTCTGTTTGCACACATATCGTGTATATATTCATATCAAAATACGGCTGCATTCGAGCTGTCGCTAAGCCACGCGCGCACATTCAAACTGCCTGGCGTTGAAACGGGAGAGCTGGTATGTCGTCGAAAAGATCACCTTGATCTTCCAATAGTCTCTTAACAATTAACGTCTATTCTGATAAACGTGTACACTTTTCAAAAGGGCTTTAACATAAACGCTTATTGTTTAAAACATAAACGCTTATTGTCTATAACATAAACGCTTATTCTTCTTATTGTGGGGCAAATGGAAGGAAGTAAATCTAAATGTTGCTTCGTGACACAGGGATGCAGGGAGGGAGGAAGGGCCCGACACTGCCAATTACCTGTGCAACAAGTGCAGCATGAATGCTGTTTTTCCGTGCATGCAGGCTTTCCATGCGCATACTGGCTCAAGTTGTTTTAAAAGATTGTCACCGTAGTCATGGCATGGCTTCCGAGCAGAGTAAGAAGGCCAACCCAAAGAAGCAGCACACAGCAGCTTTTCCCACAGGTGAGCAGATATCCTTTCACTCTTTCTGGGATGTTCTGATCCACCTTGCTCTTCTTCTGTGCTATGTCTCTTCGGCTTGTGTTCGGGATGTTTTGCTCGAAGCTGTGAAAACACCGGCTGTATTTCAGTAAACATCCCCCAATAAGCAAAACCTAAGCTTTGTACTTAAAACTTTACTCAAACAATCATCCCCCAATGAGCAAAACCTAAGCTCTTTTAAACTAACACATATTGAATAGCTAAAATCAGCCCTCCCCCCCCCCCCCGCACCTCCCCCTGATAAGCTGATAAGCAAGCAGCTTAACTTGAACTCTGAACTAAACACTGTACCTTAGCTAACACATTGTATTTCAGTTCTCATCCTCCGACAAGCAAACCAAACCAAACTCTGCACTGATACGTGTACCTCGAGCGCTCACCCCCCAACAGGCAAAACCAAAACTTTGCACTACACTGTACCTTAGCTAACGCTTTGCAACTTCAGTAATCATCCCAAGAAGCAAAATTTAAACTCTGTACCGACACTGTACCTTAGCTAGCGCACTGTATCCCCCCCCAAAAAAAAACAAAAAGCAAAGCCTGAACTCTGTACTAAACACTGTACCTTAGCTAACGCATTGTATTTCAGTTGTCATCCAAGCCTAAACTCTGCACTAAAGCATCTGGCTCCACGGCCTAGGTTGGGCGCAATATTGAAACATTTTAAAAACTCAATATTTCAATATTGGGCTGGATCCAAGATTCAAGATTTCACAGTTTGTTTTGGAGGTCATCTTGGATCCAGAGCGCAGGCTGGGCCCAACCTTGGAATATTGAAAGGGTTTCAATACTTCAATATTGGGGGGAGTGTCCTGGCTGGATCCAAGATTGTTCTGCGAAATCTTTGGACGTCGTACCTTGGATCCAGCCCAATATTGAAAGGGCTTCAATACTTCAATATTGGGGGAAGCGGGGCGGCAACAACCAGGGACCAAGAGTCCACATTCTTTTGGAAAGCGGTCTTGTCTGTTTCGGTGTTTTAACATCGGCCATCACGATCCAACAAAAAACGAGAAAGCAAACAGCGCAACAAACTCATTCTAGCAAACAGTCTCCCGCAGCCTCCTCTGTTGTGAAATTTAAGGCTTCGCGTTTATATGTGTTTATATATATATATGTATATATATATATGTGTGTGTGTTTATTGTGAGTTTTTGATTTTGGTTCATGTATTTGTTCACTTGTATGTGGAATTGAAGTTTTGGATCGGTGCTATGTCGATGAAAGGGCTTATTATATACAGGGGTCTGAGGTTCAGACTTTCGGGTTTCGGGTTCAATGTGATGTTTAGGCGCTCATGTTTAGGGATTAGGTCTAGGGCTCCGAGTCCAGGGTTTTGGACTGAGGGCTGAGGGTTTAGGATTTTAGGGCTTAGGGCATGGGATTCCGGGTTTAGGGTTTGGTGTTTCAGGGGCAGGGGAGTTAACCCGAGTTAACTCGGATTAACTGTCAGCCCCAACCCGAGTTTGCTCGAGCTAACTCTCAGAGCCAACTCGACTTAACTCGACTTAACTCCCCAAAACCTCTTATTTTCCTTTTAACCCCCAGAGCCAACCCGAGTTAACTCGAGTTACTGCACTCCCCTAAAAAACATCTCGGCTCCGAACTATACTCCTGAAACCCAAACAGACCCTCAACCCCGAAATCATGAATCCTGAGCACCCGAAATTCTGAAGCCGTGGCGACCCCAAGCCCCCCTCCCAAAAAAAAACCTGCGCCACCCCGCCAACCCCCGGGGTAAACAACCCAAACATCCCCCTCCCCCCCAACAAAAAAAACTCAAAGCAGGAATCCCAAACCGCAACACCCCCCAACCCAAACTCCACCCCAAACCACCCAAAGACGTAGACCCTAAACACCCACAGTCCCAAAACCCCAAAACTTCACCATGACCCCTGAGCATTTTTCTTTGATACATCTAAGAAAGGTTTAATTAGGGTCTGGCGTTTGAGGTTTATGGTTTGTTGCTTGGGGCTTAATCATCAACCCGAAGCATTACCCCACTTTAGACCCTAAACCCCAAACCACCGTTGAACTCTACATCTCCATCAGTAAGCCCAAGAGACCACAACCTTAAGTCCCTGAACCCAAAAAACAACCAACCCTAGTCAAAACTGTATATATCCCTCAACCCCAAACCTCAACCCCTATAACCTTGAAGCCCAAACCCCCAGCCTCGGCCTCGCCACAAACCCTATAGCCTAAGCCACGCCCTAAACCCCCAAGAGTTTTGGGGCAAGCTGTCTTAGCCTTTGCTTTTGCAACCGCTTTCTTGCTATGATCTTTCGATGACACACCGGCTCTCCCCCAGGCAATTTGAACGCGCGCGCGCGCGTGGCGAACGACAGCGCGAATGCAGCAACGTTTTGATATGAATATATACACGATGGTTGTGCGAACAGAATGAGATCCACGTGCGCGTGCAGAAAAGCAGCAGTTGAGTCACAAGACCACGACGGACAGCCGAGGTTGCCTCGCCGGCGGAATCTTTGCGTATAATAAAGTCTCTGTATGTGCGCGCGCAGCAAGTTTTGGTTCCTACATAATTACTATTGCTTTTAGCCTTTGCTTTCGCAACCGTTGTCTTGCTATGCCCTGACCCTTCATTCAATAGACACTTATATCAGCTTTAAGCGCTTACAAGAGACCTTTGTGAATGTAACAAGCGGTTAGCATAAGGGCCTGTTGTTTTTACAAGCGTAGTTTTTAACACAAGAAGCTTTTATGCTAGAGGCAACCGGCGTTTATGTTTTAGCAATATATATATATATATGTGTATATATATGTACACATGTATTTGAAAGTATATTTATATTTGTTTTTAAAATTCATATATATATATATGTAGTTTTTAGACCATCAACCCTAAAACCTAAATTAGATCATTGTTTTTTCGTAATCGGTTCTTCTTTTCCCTCGTCCTCTCTTCTTTCCAGAGGGCCTGAATATTCGTATGCCACCTCCCTAAACTCTCACTCGACCAGAGCAGGGGCTTTTTTGCATCACCTTGAAACACTTTCTGCGGAATATTGGATCTTGGATCTTGGATCTTGGATCTTGGATCCAGCCCAATATTGAAATATTGAGTTTTTCCCATATTTCAATATTGTGGGGCCAGATAAGCACAACCGCTTAGTGGGGGAGGGGGGGTGATTACTGAAATACAATGTGCGTTACCTCAGGTGCAGAGTTTAGCGCAGTGGTGCGCAGAGTTTGGTTGCCCCAAAGATCTTCAAAAATCTGAGGGAGCAAGGCTTGGGCTCACCAGATTACAAACCCCAAGCGTACTCGCTGTTGGGGAACCAAAACTTGCTACGCTCGCACACACACACACACACACACACATCTTTTGATTCCGCCGGCGTGACAATCTCGGCTGTCCGTCGCGGTCTTGTGACTCAACTGCTGCGTTTGATGCGAGCACACATGGATCTCACTGTTCGCATAAACATCGTGTGTATTTTCAATATATTCATATCAAGATACTGCTGCATTCGCTGTTGCGCTCTCCGTGCCGCGTGCTGCGTCCGGCGCGACACACTCCGGCACGACACACGGAAAGGTTCGCGACTCGATCGTGCACGAATGCTGTTGCGCGGGCACACATGGGTGTCTCGCCGTTCGCACGGATCTGTTCTTGCGGCTAAACAGCCGCGTCTTACACGACCACACAGACATCCGGTGTTGGGTAGGCGTTTTTTTGCGGCAAAAAAGTGGTTGCAAAAGCAAGGGCTAAAAACTATAGGAACCAAAACTTGCTTCGCGCGCACACACACACATATCTTTTGGCACTAAAGATTCCGGCGAGACCATCTCGGCTGTCCGTCGCGTTCTTGTGACTCAACTGCCGCTGCGCGGGCACACATGGGTGTCTCGCCGCTCTCGCCATTCGCACGCATCTGTTCTTGCGCTAAATAGCTGCGTGGTATACGACCACACAGACAGCAACTGTTGGGTAGGCATATCTTTACGGCAAGAAAGCGGTTGCAAAAGCAAGGGCCAAAAACTATAGGAACCAAAACTTGCTTCGCGCATACACACACATATATGCGGCCAGCCCACATGGATCTCATTCTGCTTGCACAGACATGTTAGTGCGTGCTGTGTGCTGCGAACGCACATACACATATCTTTTTTTCGGCAGCACACATGGATCTCATTCTGCTTGCACAGGCGTGTTAGTGCGCTCAAACTGCCTGGCGCTGTTTTCCTTCCTCGGTGGACTCCCCGAAGACTACTTTTTTAATTGCCCAGGCGCAAAAAGTTGCAGTAGTTTGGCGCGCGCACACGTCCCTTACCTTTCCGCGAAGCCGTGCACAAAATCTAGTCACCGACCTTCTCCCTTACCAGATTGCAAGCCCCAAGCGTACCCGCTGTTGGGGAACAAATATTATCAATATTTCAGCTTTACTTAATTTATTTGATAGGGTAAAGGGAGGACGGAGGGCTGAGGGCGACCTAAGCCCTACCCGCCAGAACAAAAACCCTTAGCACCTCGGCCCCCTAAACCTTCGAGCCGATGAAAGCATCTAAAGCTGGGTTTAGGGTTTAGGGTTTAGGGTTTAGGGTTTAGGGTTTAGGGTTTAGGGTTTAGGGTTTAGGGTTTAGGGTTTAGGGTTTAGGGTTTAGAGTCAAGAATCCTTCAACCCGCCCATGAGAGCGGCCCTGGAAACCTCTCCGAGGGAGTACTCCTAGAGTTTCCAGGGCATGGGCTTCGGGTTTTCGGGTTCAGCATTAGGGCTCTTGCTTCCCTGGCGCTCTCCCCCCCCCCCCACCCCGTGCTCTTTCGCAACTTTTTTGTTGAAACGATGAAAGCACCCAATGTTCCCTTTCAGGTCCTAATTAGGGAGCATGGTGATGCACCTACGGCCCCATGTACAAGAAACGAGAAAGCTGTATCCCCCAGCTGAACCCAACACTGAGGCAGCAATTTGCCACGACAAATTTGCACATGGGTTCGGCGCTTGCGTGGCTGTGGCTTGGGCTCGTCTGAGATTTTGGGGTTTCGGCCAGCAGATGCACTCTAAACCCTAACCCCTAAATACTGACTCTACCAGTTGAGGGAAGTTCGAATGCCTTTTTGTTCGTGGCTCTTCCACAGCCTTTCTGTTGTCCTCGTCTTTTGGGTGCTTGGACCATGAAGTTGATTTGGGGTCGTAGCCGAAAAATATCGCCAAGGCCATTTCAACTTCCTTGGCTTCACAGCACAACCCTAAACCAGCGACAACCCGAAAGGATCCGAAAACGCCTGACCTGTCCCCCGCGGCATTGGATCGAGGGAGGGTTTTGGGGGTTAGGGTTCAGGGTTTAAGGTTTGATTTGCGAGCTTAGCTTTAGAGGTTTAGGGCTTCAAGGTCCTTGACAACTGAGCAAGGAAACTACCCCCCCCCCAAACCCCGCGGCCCGAAACGAATCCTTGGCGCGAAGGCTCTTTCCATGGGCTGACCTTCCACTTCCCACCTTGTTCTGGGCAGCTGCCTAAATCGGGGGGTGAGGGGGGGGGGGGCATCCCAAAAGCCCCCTGAACGGGGGGGGGGGGGGGGGGGGGGGGGGGGGGGATTTTGGATTGTCGGATTTCGGCGTTTGGTTGGGTTTTGGGTTTGGCCGGGGGGTTTTTTGGTGGGTGGGCGGGCTTCGTTCCGTTCAGCGGTTTCGCAGTTTAGGGCTCTTGGCTTCCGAGTGGTTTTGGGGTTTGGGCCTCCCAGCTCACCGTGACTACCCTGAGGCAGCCCCGTTGGCCGACTTCACCCTACTTAGGCCCTTAAGAATTTGGGTTTTGAGGGCACTGTTTCCGAAGATGTGCTCAGACGGTTCTTCAGCGTTGAGCCAGTAAGCCCTATCCCCTACCGCCCCAAACCACACACCCCAAAATACTAAACCCTGAGCCTGAATCCCCAAAATACTACGGAGACCGTTTTTTAAACTATTTGTTTTATTTATTTAAATGTCCGCATATTAAAAAATAGGCACCGTACATCGCCCCCTTTTGTTAAGGCTTTGCGTTGCCGGGGGAGTCAGGTCTGGGGCTTCGCTGCCGAACGAACCATAGGGTCCCTGACCATTGGCGCCTGGGCGTTACTTTTGGGGCCTTTTGGGCCGTTGGGAGTCGGGGGGCCTAGAGGGCTTATTCATAAAGTTTGATATAGGGCTTTTGGGGAAAATGTAAGGAAGCCGAGCTGTAGCAGTTTTTTCCATGTTTGTGAAGAGGAGCAAGATCCTGTTTTGAAAGCAGGGCCTTGCCTTGTGCCAGTTGATCCCCTCCCCGGCCCTGCCTGATGTTAAAGTGAGAGAGGCTGTGTCCCAACGCAGGAGTCGCTAGCTTCCGATTAAACTGCGGTTTCAGCTTCCTCAGTAGTGGTTGGCTATTGTGCTGAGTGCTATGTAAGTGCACATGTATCAAAGACATTCTCGACACCTGTTATGCTAGCAGCATTGTTCCTCGGACTTGAGTACGATCGGCGTTGCCCCTGGTTGCCTGCGGTTCTCGTTCCACGTGGCTTCAGGTACCTTCATCTTGCTGTTCACAGCGCCTTCGTCCAGAAGTGATACATCCAAATCAACCTAAACCTCCCCGAAACCTTAAACCCTTCCTCCCAAAGGTCCGGGAGGAGAAGAGGTGGTTCTGACAGACATGGAACGGTCTTGTCTAGGGGCTTAGGATTGCTTCATCATCTCTTCTTTGCACGCTTAGCAAAGAGCTTTCGAGCAGGACAGCCACCAGACGTAGCACCGTGGGAAGGCAGCGCTTAGACGGGGGTTCCCAGCCGAGGTGGCTCTCCGCATTGTCATCCGGATCCACGCGTCTTGGCGCTTCCACGGGCGCATGGCGAAGACGCATGTAGAGCTCCATGTGGCCCGGAGAGCAGCTTCAGGGAGTGTTTGTGGACTTTTTCTTTTACCTGGTGAGATTGGGATGTGTCCCTCGCCTAGGTTGAAGGGGGGGAGGGCTGCGGGAGAAGTCAGAAACATACTCGGACAACCCAAAAGGCAGGCAGTTCTGGATTCAAGCGGCATGCGCGTCAGGTGATGGAATGTGGAGTTCGTAGGTTTTCCGACAGTTGTTTTTTGAGAAGAAGCTAGCACATCCGCACCCCTAACGCTTACCTTTGACCTTGCGCTCTTGCGCTTCGGGGGTGTTAGGGTGCTCCGTGGTCCCACAAAAGAAAAAGGGACGACAACACCCCAATCAGAGCTCAAGGTCCTGAACCCTACTGCTTGCATACCCCGAAGACCTACAACACCTTGAGAACGCAAACAAGAACAAGAGACTAAGCCCCAAAAGCTCTAGGTATCATAAAGACTCACCGCAAAAACGAAAAAAAACAATAACAACTACGTCCTAACCCCAAAGACGAAGACCCCAGATTTGCGCGGCGCCAGTGGCGAATCTGTCGCTCGACTATGGCATACAGGATGTTTTCCACTGTTTTAATGGACTTTGGGGTTTTTTGGTTCACGCTTGTCTTCGGGGGGAGGAGTGGGGCTCATCAGTGGGGCTGTAGGACTTGCAGGGTTCAGAACATGTTGAACCCCCCCCCCCCCCCCCCCCCCCCCAAGAAAAAAGAACAAAACGAAATCTGCGAATTCTCTCTTCTTCCCTAAGCCTTGGACCCAAACCCTGACGCTTCTCTGCCAGGGTGTCGATCGTCTGCGACGGCCGTGCGTACTTCTACCATAACATTGGCGACCTGCCGCAACAGGGGCGGCCCGTTGGTATGAGGCTGCGGGAGCTGAGAGTCGGCTGAAGCACCCACGACCGGCACTGTGCTGCCGCGATTAGGGTTTAGGGTTTAGGGTTTAGGGTTTTGAGGGTTTAGGGTTTAGGGTTTAGGGGGGGCCAGGTGCGATTGCTCAGTAGCTCTTGTCACCTTGTAAGAGCAGCAGAAATTTCCGAAGGCGGCGTTCCCTGGCCTTGGCCTTCACGCAGCTGAAGCTTGGCGCATCTCCCTCATATGCTTCCGAGTCGAACTCCGGTTCCTGGAAAGGGTCCCTGGCTCTTCGTAGGGAATGAGGGAAGGGCCCTACACATACCCTTCAGGGACTTAAGAGGGTTAAGAGGGTACCTCATTCCTTCATTCCTTACTAAGAACCAGCCAGAAAGGTCCTCTTGAAATTTGGCACATGCTTCGGTCGGCCATGAGGCCTGGGCTTGGTTGGGCGTTGAGCACCTTTTCAGGGTTAACCCGAATTCCTTCCTTGCAAGTAGCATTTCCGCAGGGAGGTTAAGGGGAGAGGTGAGAAGCACATGACCAAGAATCGAGCCCGGGAAACCCTATACCCTAAATTCTCAACCTAGAAAATTCTAAGCATTAGAAACCCTTAAGCCCTCGCAACTTGCTGAAACCTCTCTCAGGACCACTCTCCCCGAGCCCACCTTTGAAGGAGGCCCCTTGGGCTGGCAGCCTGGCTCTGATTGAAGTGTCAGACTTGGGGGGGGCTTCCGATTCGGCAGACTCTCGCCTCCCTCTCTCTCTCTCTCTCTCTCTCTCTCTCTCTCTCTCTCTCTCTCTCTCTCTCTACCTACCTACCTACCTACCTCCCTCCCTACCTACCTCCCTCCCTACCTACTACCTACTGTGAAGGATGACCATAGAAAGTGCCTCTAGGCACCTTGATTTGCCGTCCAGGAGCCAGCGCGGGCTCGGATGACGGAACGTACTTGAATGGCTTGCAGCCTTTCGACAAGGGCTTGGAGTGGTGGCGGGGGGGGGGGGGGAGGGGGGTGAGGGGGGGAGAGATAGGGAGGGCGCCACGAACGCGAGGCACTTGCTGTTGTTGGTTTCTTGAGGGGTCAGGTGCCCTCCCAAGGCTCCAAGAGCATCAGCTGCTCGCCTTGGGTGGCCGATGGCTGTCTCGCGCAGATGTCTTGCCGCAGTCGTTTTGAGTAGCTTCTCGAGGAAAAAAGGAGAGCAGAGAGAGAGAGAGAGAGAGAGCGCAGAGAGAGAGACAGAGCAGAGAGAGAGAGAGAGAGAGAGATGAAGCAGGCGCTAAGAAAGGAGGTAGTAGGAACGCAACATGAAGTAGGAATGCAAACGAGCCCACCCACACAGAAAATGTGTTTGTAGTTTACATATGGCAACGCATGTCAACATCATGTGTGTGTGTGTCCCGCCGTTTTGGGACAGCATTCGGCATAAGAGCGTTGCTTGCAGCGTGGCCTATCATATTCTTTAGTTGCATGAATTTAAACCCTAAACCCTAAACCCCTAAACCCCTAAATTTTTAAATCCCTAAACCCTAAACCCTAAAGCCTATCTTTGCTCTGAGCTGAGGTACCTCAACATCATTTCTGGCGAGTACGATTCCAAGGCAGCTAGGTAGCAATCTTGCTGCAGAGGCTTGAGCCCGGAAACCTAAACCCAACACCCAAACCCTCAACTATATCGCGTCCTTCACAAAGGGGGTTCATGCCGGGGGGGGGGGGGGGGTAGGGAGGGAACTAGAGAACCTTAGGGAAGCTTCAGGGAGTAGTGTGAGGTGTTGGGGCAGCTTGAGTTACACAAGCCTTGAACCCCCTTCCTTAAGAACCCTAACCCTGAACCCCAAGTGGGCTTTCAAAGATGGAGTCTTGGAACCACCCACTCTCTCCTGAAAACCACAAATCCTGAACATTGGGTTTAGGCTTGCTAAACCCTAAACCCTAAACCCTAAACCCTAAACCCTAAAGAAGCCAGGATGCGTACGGGCCGTATGGGTGGTCCGCACACTCCCAAGGCTTCCCCGTGGAGCCTTGGAGTACGACTTCAGAGAGCTGAGGGCGGTTTAGGGTTTGGGGTTTAAGGTTTAGGGTTTAGGCTTGAGGGTTTAGGGTCGAAGGGCTCCAGGAGGAGGGTTTAGGGTTTAGGGTTTAGGGTTTAGGGTTTAGGGGTTTGGGGTTGGAGGTTATGGGTTACGGGTTACGGGTTGCGGGTTTCGGGTTTCGGGTTTCGGGTTTCGGGTTTCGGGTTTCGGGTTTGGGGGGGGGGGGGGGGGGGGGGGGGGGGAGGGCAACTCGAAATCATAGATGTAAACTTGTAAAATGGTTTTGCTTCTCGTTTCCTGCCTTCTGATGTGTGACCAGGAAGACTGAAATTGAAGTTGCATAACTGCATTCAGAGACATTTGAGAACAATCCTGGAAGGAAGGGGACAGGTGTTTCTTCGTGGCGAAGACTCATTACAGATAGTTCCGGGGCTGCAGGGAGCGGGTGGGGGGGGGGGGTAGGGGAGGGATGGGGGGAGGGAAGAATTGGGGAGAGGGGGTGTTGGGTTTAGGGTGGGTTCTGGGTTTGCGTTTGAGGGCTTAGATGCAGGGAGCATGTACGGATATTAGAGATACAGAGAGATGGAGATACGCACATATTGCAACGACATCTCTATACTTTGGTGCTGTACAAATATCTATGAGAACTGTCTCTTTAGGATACATACATGAAAAGTGTCCTTTAGGTCATGAGTTTCAATCGCAGTTATTCGAGTTTCGATCGCACCGCTTGATGCCGAATGAATGTGTACTTACGATTCCTTTACACCTTACTCCTCAACTTTCAGTCGCAAGCCCTCCACTTGAAAAGTGCGAACACGTATGTGGTTTTTCTGAAAGAACGGATACCACCCCCCCCCCCCCCCCCCGCGCAGGTTAGAACAGTTTTTTACCTCAAGTTGCCCGACTTGCAACCTAGCCTCACGCACCTCTGAGCGCACTTCGCCGCTTCCTATACGGCCAAAGCATCACAACTACCCCAAGCTAACCTACACCCGCTTGGAAGAGTGCAAGTCTAGATCCACTTGCCGAAGCCCCTGAAGCCCCACCCTGAAACCAGCTTTGCGTGCAATTCAGGACCACGCCCGGGTGCACGACTTGCAGAGCTGGCTGACGGACCCCGAAAGGCGCATTGGAATGTCGACGTTTCAGGGGCGGGGCCTGCACAAAATTAGGACGGGGCTTTGTGGCGATCTTCACGCGCTCTACAAGTTAAGATGTTCTTGCCACACCAAGAACCCTCACACCTCGAAGTTTCGGAAAAGCGTTCCTTTGGTGAGCATAAAGACGGAGACTCTTGGTTAAGGCCCTTCCTCCAACTCGGTTACTGCATCCCTTCCAAGCACACGCGTGAGTTTCATAATCTCTCCCCTCCCAAAGAAGCCCTAACCCACCCCAAAACCCTAAACCCTAAACCCTAAACCCTAAACCCTAAACCCTAAACCCTAAACCCTAAACCCTAAACCCAACAGGTTGGAGTCCAGGAGCTGCCCTCATAGTCTTAATAAAACCCTAAACCCACGTCGGAGGCTGAAGCTCTTTCGTTGCGTCGGGGTGCCGCAGCCGAGAATCTGAGTTCAGGGCTCTCCCAAGAGTGGAGGGTGCTATCGGGGGGGACCGTAACCGGTTTAGGGTTGAGGGTTGAGGGTTTAGGGTTTGGGGTTTAGGGTTTAGGGGTTGGGGGGTCTAGGGTCTGGGGCGCTCAGACTTCAGGAGAAGTGCTTCTTTGTCTAAAATCCAAAATGCTCCTTTCTTGCTTGGATTGCAGCTCCACAGTGGACATGCACCGAATTGCCTCGAGTCATCAGAACCCACCGCACACCCTGAACAATTTGCCTTTGAGCCCTGAACCCTGTACTATACTCTACAGAGCCCCAAACCCAACCCTCTCGAAAGCCACTGAACCCTAAGCCACTAAACGCCCCCCATCGCTACGCCCTAAATCCACTAAACTTGGTCCCTGAACCCGTGCATTTGCAGACGCTGCCCATTCTCAGGCAGCATTTTGGAAGGAGCACATGTTTCCCGCGAACCGTGAGGACCATCCGTGATGTGAAAAGCCACCAGTTGAAGGGTTATGCAGTATGTAGGTAGGGTGGTTACGGGAACTGATAGCTGCTTTAACAGGCTTCCACCTCTCACAGGAAGAACGCCGGTTCGTAACCCCACAGACTTCCTCTTGTTCCCAATAAACCTGTTTCCAAAACAGGGGTTTTATCCTACCGTCAATTGTGAGTGTACGTATTGGGTGTCTTGGTCCGCCCTAGTGCTAGGTCTGTTCCTCTGGATATTTCTGGGCCCTAAACCCTACCCTAAACTCTAAACCCTAAACCCTAAACCCTAAACCCTATCACTGGCTCCGCAGGTGTTGCTGGCACCGTACGAGATCTCACCCGAAACGCAGGCTACGGCACTGCGCCCCGGGCTTTCTTCGAGTTCTCATGGGTTCAGGGTTTAGGGTTTAGGGTTTAGGGCTTAGTAGGGGGGAAGGTTTCAGGGTTCAAGGAGGGGGGGGGGGGTGAGGGCAAACTTGTGTGAAGGTTGAAGGTTGGGATTTCTGACATCGCCGTGCCTCAACTCAGCTTTGATCCCCTGGAAGGCATTTCATCTTGAGGTCATGCCTCGAACTCGGTCCGCCCCACCCCTCTACCCCAAAACTAATTTGAAACACCTCCTTAAACTCTCCCAAAGCGAGAATTCAAGAGAGGCCGAGGGGGGGGGGGGAGCACGCCGCCAACCCAGGAGCACAACAAGTGTGATTCTCACAGCCGACGTGCAGAAGGCGAGATCAGGGAATGGAGTTCAAGGTGGAGCTAATGGCTAAGCTCTACACTCTGCTGTACATGTCCACAGCCGGCCAAACTGCATATGATTTCCTACATTTGCTTTGGGGCCAAACCGACAGAGACCCTGAGCATGTGTTCACGTGCAATTATGCACAACGTACCGTGTATAGCATCACACACTTTGGACTCAGACCCGGAGCCCCTTTTGTCAGAATGTTGATGCTTTCTGTATCAACAACATCTGGCCAACATACAGTCTTGAAAGTTCTGATTGCCTTCATCCTTCTTATCAACTTTGTCTTGCATCTGCTGGAGTAGGCGACGAGGGCCTGTCGATTGTTAGTCTTCGCACTTTAGACAACAGAGTTTGTCATAGTTGAACCAAAACCTCTCTCAAAACGTACAGGTTGCTCAATCTTGATTCGCCTTTCGCCTTTGCATTCCAAGAACGGCAGAACATACTGAAGCACTCCGGAACTCGACGGCAATGGAAAACCCTTGCAGAAATCTGTCCTGTTGGTAACTATGCCGTTGAAAAGCAGTGGCTACTAGTACTCGCTTATTCATCACATGAGGGTTAGGGCGCACATTAGCAGGACCAGTGCTTGGAGATTTTCGGAGAGAGCTCTCATGAGAAGCAACCGTTGTGAATGCACCTTGCAATTTCAGGTTCAGGGCTTAGGGTTCTCTCTCCCTCTCCCTCCCTCTCTTTTGCTGGTTGCCCTGTGTCTCAGGAATGCTTTCAGGCTCCTCAACACCTTACCTCCTAAAGGCCCGAAGTACTTTCATCAACGCTTTGGAATGCTGAAAGCCCTCCCCCCCCCCTCCTTTCAGAAGACTTTCGTGCAGGAGACTTTGGTTCAGTATCATTCTGGAGCGAGTTTTGAATTTAGGGTTCAGGGTTTAGGGTTTAGGATTAAGGTGTGGAGGTATTGTGCCCGTGTAATTTTGTGAGGGTGGCTTCCGAAGAGTGTTCCCTAAACGAGGTGGAGGACGCCCGATACAAGGTGTCGCTGATCTCCATGTCGGGGGAGGAGGCAGAAAGCTTCGCCTTCCGCGACTTGGCAGCCCCCGAGATTATAACCGTTAGAGAGGGATTCCTCCCCCTCACGCCCTCACCTCCTGTGAGGTGGAGACCTGCGACGGTCCCCTGCTAGGACCCGCAAGATCCTGAAGCTTACACTCTCAACTGAACCAACAAAATCTTTGGGGGGGAGGGTGGGACATCGTCAAGAACCCCATTCACTTGGGGGGGGTTGCAGTGTAAACCATTTAACAAGAGGGGCGGGTGGTCGTCGCCTGAAGGCGCTCGAAGAAACCGGGCACATCGTCCCAGATGTCCCGCTGCAAGGTACAGGGGACACGCTGGCGGACGTGCTGCAGCTCACCTGCACACGAGCGGCCTCCCCAAGGCTCATGATTGTAATTAGGGTTTAGGGTTTAGGGTTTCGGGTTCAGGGTTTAGGGTTTAGGGTTTAGGGTTTAGGGTTTAGGGTTTCGGGTTTAGGGTTTAGGGTTCAGGGTTCAGGGTTGAGGGTTATTGGCATAACCTCGGGTTGAAGAGCAATGCTCAAAGCACCCCAAAAGCGGTGCAAAAGGGGCCGCCAGAAGGGGCTGAATAGAAGAGGCCTTACAGGCTGCAAGGCGTAGTCTGGTGTCGTGTTTCGGGCCGTACGATCAGAGGGACCTAGCGACTCCAGAATCGGAGTTTCGGAGGGGGTTTGGGGTTTAGGGTTTAGGGGCTTCGGGTTTAGGGTTTAGGGTTTAGAGTTTAGGTTTAGGGTTTAGGGTTTAGGGTTTAGGGTTTAGGGTTTAGGGTTTAGGGTTTAGGGTTTAGGGTTTAGGGTTTAGGGTTTAGGGTTTAGGGTTTAGGGTTTAGGGTTTAGGGGCCATGCCTCCAGTCACCCAAAAAGATCCGCAGGCACGAGAGGGCCCCCCCCCCCCCCACATCCGGGAGTTCCTTCTGTAGGTGGTGTGGGTCATCGACTCTGCGCCTGGCGCTCTTCCATGGTTAGTAGCCAAAGTCTGTGCACAGAGGTTTCCGGATAACTCCTTGGATTTCGGGTTTAAGGGATTTAGGAGATTTAGGCGTTGGGAGCTGTAGGAGGTTTTAGGGTCTAGGGGTGTTTGTGCCACCAAATTATTCCAAGCATGTCATGTGAGTCGACCTGCTTTGGGGTTTAGGAGATTGAGGGGTCCGGGAACTGTAGTGAAAGTGGAGCCCACAACCCGAAGAACCCCCCTCCCTTCCTGGAGCGTGCACCAAAGGCACCGCGTCGCCAGCAGACCAAAGCCTCTGGACTCCAAGATGTTTCGTAGAGTCGGCGAAGGCTTTCAGTGCTTCGGGGGTTTAGGGTTTAGGGTTCAGGGTTCAGGGTTTCAACTTCGGGTGCCGCAATAATGGCACAGCGGGCCTCCGACAGCTCAGCGTCTACAGAGAAGGAAGTCACATGATGATTTGGCCACTGCAGCCCCAGGGAGAGCCCCGTCAAGCACCCTAAAGATCCGAGCCCAAAGCGCTGAACCGACCCCAGAACCTACACCCGTTGCACCCGCAACGCGCCAAGAACGACAATTCCCAGGTTCTGGCTCTGTCAGGTCAAGATCATCCTGAGCTCCCTTGGCCTGCTTGGGTTGAAGGTTTAGGGCATTTGCGGGCGGGGGGTGGGGGGGGGGGGTACGTTGAACCCAAAACCCAAAACCCAAAACCCAAAACCCTAAACCCCAAACCCGAAACCCCAACCCCAACCCCAAACCCCAAACCCCAAACCCCAAACCCCAAACCCCAAACCCCAAACCCCAAACCCCAAACCCCAAACCCCAAACCCCAAACCCCAAACCCCAAACCCCAAACCGAAGCAAAGGCGATGGCACACAGCTGGACTCGCTGGACCCTCGCATGGCTCTGCAGGAGCTGCGTCTTGCCGTGAAGGTTTAGGGTTTAGGGTTTAGGGTTTAGGGTTTAGGGTTTAGGGTTTTAGGGTTTTAGGGTTTTAGGGTTTAGGGTTTAGGGTTTAGGGTTTAGGGTTTAGGGTTTAGGGTTTAGGGTTTAGGGTTTAGGGTTTAGGGAAGGTTGGGCGGTGGCTTGGGCACAGGTCCCACACCCCCCCAGCCCTGAAAAGTAATAGGCCTGTAGCCCTCTTAGGAATGGGTTTTATTGATGTATTTGCATACAAACCCACACGGGAGTACTGAGAATGTTCTTTCCATGTTCGAAAGAAGGGGGATCGTAGAGTTTTCTCGTCAAAAGGGCTGCGTTGCTCTTAAAGCCACTGAAGTGGGGTGTCAGCCGATGGCCTCCAAAAGCTGTGATCATCTTTGGGGGGGGGGGGGGCTTCTGCCTTCGGGCATCCTCGGGACCGACAGCCGAGCTGAGGGAACTGAGAAAAACTGAGCTGAGGGTGCTAGAGAGACAACACGTGGGAGCGCTTTCTTCTTCTTTGGAGCATCCCTCCTTATGCTGCTGGCTTCAAGAAGGCTTGCAAGCTCATGCCCGACATAAGCCCTGGAGCGCACGATAGGGCGGCACATACTCCCCCCGCGCACTAGAGGCGCTCGCACGGTACTCGCACGCTGAAGCACTCCGGGGCTTCAGGTTTGGAAAGAGTTTAGGGCTCTCTCTGGTTCCCACAGACCTGAAAGTGAAGCAAATGTTCACTGCACTGAGAGAAGTGTTCAAACTGCGTGGGCTCTAGCCTCAAGAGCATCCCTACCCCCTCATCCCTAAAGCCCACCACATTCTACCGCAATCTCAGGTTGGAGCGCGCCCAAGCGATGGCTTCGCCGGCATAGGGTCGCGCCCGGGAAGTGTAGCCCCTGCAGCCAACTTTGAGGCTTCCTGTTTAGGGTTGAGAGCTTTCTTAAGATCCGGAGGCCCGGCTTTGCTAAGCTCTGCTCCGAAAATAGACAGGAGGGGGGGGTGATACTGGGGAGCGCCAACACTGAACGCGAGGTTGGCAGTGGTCTGGTTGTTTGTGCGTCAGCCTCTCACGGTCTTCCACGTTGGGGTTACAGCGGCTCGATGGTTTTCCGAATCAGAGCAAGGCCGACCCGTTCCCTCAGAAGCTCATTGCAGGTTTTCGGGGCACTCTGCGCATGGCCTCCTGCTTGGGGAGCCCCTGCAGAGGTGGGGTTTTCCTCAGGTTTCTGACGATGCAAGGGGCCTCATCACGATGCTTGTGCCTAAACCCTAAGCCCTAAGCCCTAAGCCCTAAGCCCTAAACCCTAAACCCTAAACCCTAAACCCTAACAAGCAGGGGCCCCGTGTAGTCAAGACGCGAATTTCAGCTTGGCAACGCAAATCCCCTGGGAGGATCGCCCCAGGTGCCATGCAGCGAAGCCGCTGCGCTGGGAACTCTAATTGTTTAAGGCTCAGGGTTTAGGGTTTAGGGTTTAGGGTTTAGGGTTTAGGGTTTGGGGTTTAGGGTTTAGGGTTCAGTTTCACAGACAGACCGACTGGCCATGGGGGCCACCCGCGAAGAGATAAGGACAGCTTGGGGCCACTGTGCGCGGGGCGGGCGCTGAGAATGCCAAGGTCTCTCAAATCTACTTGAGCTTCATGAGCATTGTGATGGGAGGTGCTCATGTTGGTCTGTCCCCCCGTTGAGGTCTTCTTGATACTCTTTGGAAGTTTTCGGACCCTCGCAAGCCTTTTTCGAGCGTTTTCAGCCTCTAGCCGGTTGGGGCCGTTGGGCTCTTTGTAGAGCCTTGTTGAAGCCTTTGAAAGTTGTTGCTTAACCCTCTCTGTTCTGACCCGGGAAAGAAAAGTTAAGTTCAATTTTTACAGCTCTCAATGCCAGATCAAGTAAGTCAGAAGCCGAAACGCGGCGACGCTACTGTCTAAGTGAAGGTGACAATTGCTTCCTGCTGCGCCGTTCCATTCTCTTGCTCGAGCCTTCACTACCAATATGACTTGTGATGTTCCCCCTTATACTGGAGGTCCTTAGCGAGCATTGTAGTACCCCCTATACCTCCCAAAAAACTGACACTTAGTAGAAAGGATCAATGCCCCGAACGCATCTCGGCGAGTTGCAAAGCCATACTGCTACAGAGCTTCTAGATTCTCTTAGGGTAGTTACATGGTCCCTTAGTATGGGCCCTTAAAGGGGGGGACCCCTTACATACCCCTTATATACCTTCTGCAACCCAAGGGCCCATGCGTCAGCATCCTTTAAGGGAGGCAAAGGACCAGTTTAAGACCCCCATGCAACCACCCGAGATTCTAGAGAGCCTCTCAGATATCAAAAGCCCGCACTATGACACTCCTAGGGCTGAGGCATGGCTTTGCGCACACCCGGCGTCCTCTTCTCTCGGGGCAGCACACCGAAATGCTGGGGGAGTACTTCCCATGTCCCAGCAACTCAGGGTGTCTTCAGACCTTCCAAGGAGCCCTTCCTCAGGAGAAGCCTTAAAATCTCACAACCCTAAACCCTAAACCCTAAACCCTAAACCCTAAACCCTAAACCCTAAACCCTAAACCCTAAACCCTAAACCCTAAACCCTAAACCTTTGGGAGCTCTCCTTGCCCTTCACAGTGCCGCCTTCAACTCCGTTGCCCCAAGCCATCGCGGAATTTCAGGGATTCCCGTCTCGAGTTCAGGGCCTCAATAGGTTCCCGCCTCCCCCTCCTCCCTAACCCTAAACCCTAAACCCTAAACCCTAAACCCTAAACCCTAAACCCTAAACCCTAAACCCTAAACCCTAAACCCTAAACCCTAAACCCTAAACCCTAAACCCTAAACCCTAAACCCTAAACCCTCCCCCCCTAAACCCTTAAACCCTTAAACCCTTAAACCCTTAAACCCTTAAACCCTTAAACCCTTAAACCCTTAAACCCTTAAACCCTTAAACCCTTAAACCCTTAAACCCTTACACCCTTACACCCTTAAACCCTAAACCCTAAACGTTTTGCAGGGGAAAGTCCAAGTCATGTTGGACGCCCCCTTGGCTGTTGTACTTCTGGCTCAGGCTGCTTGCAGTCGGAGAACATAACATTGTTTAGGGTTTAGGGTTTAGGGTTTAGGGTTGAATTACTCCAGTTTCTTGATGAACTTGACAAAAGCGTCTCAGCAGGCAATGAGCCCTGAAAGTGCAGCCCAGAATTTGACCGAATGGAGCCAGCACAGGACATGGAGGAGGCGTGGACCTCGGGGGGGGCTTCTGGGGATATCTAGGACGCCTGTAAGGATAGGTTTTCAGAAAGTTGAATGGTGAAATCCTTCCATGAACCCTGACGGGCTTTCGGTTGTAACGTGCTTCGCAAGCCTCTCTGGATGGATAAAACCCGGCGTTGTCCGGAAGAAACCATGACCTTGAGTACCCCAACTTGGAGAAATCTAAGCTCCATTCCCCCCTAAACCCTAAACCCTAAACCCTAAACCCTAAACCCTAAACCCTAAACCCCCATGTATGGATATTCCTGGATCTTGTGTATCAGGCGCCATCCCTAAGCCTTAGGCCTTAAACAGGAAGCCCTGACTGAAAGCCCAGAAGGTCCGAAGAGCCCACCCTAAACCCTAAACCCTAAACCATCCCTAAACCCTAACCCTAAACCATCCCTAAACCCTAAACACCCTGGGAATTATGGCCTTTGTTTGGGTATCCGCAGAAAGATCCCTAGGAGCCTTGGGGAAGGGAAAGCCCCTAAGGCTCCAAGGATATGTTTTCGTTTCTGCTGGGGACTTAGGAGGCAGTTACACGTGCTTCCATTAGGGTGTCGCATACTTACACGATTCCATTTCTTTACCGATGAATGTTTTTGCTGCGGGGTCTTGGGGTCTCCGCAGATATGCAGCGGGATAGGTGGCAGGCAGGAGAGACAGGGTAGAGATAGATAGGAGGGTTTAGGGTTTCAGTGTTCAATTTTAGGGTTTGGGGGCCTTCAAATTTTAGGGACCTACATGGCTCTGACTTTGGCCCATGAGGAGATTTAGGAGTCCAGGACCGTTGAGGGTTTGGATTCAAGCACGCCAATCAAGGGTTGTTCGGGTTTAGGGTCTAGGGTTTGTGGTGCTTTACTGTAACTTTGACATCTTTAGCCTTTTGGGGTTTATTGGGTTTCTTAATAAGGCAGCTAAAAGTTTGATTTTTTGCTACCCTCCTAAGTGCAGCCAAGTAGGGTTTGGGGTTTAGGGGCAACCCCCAAAACACAGTGCAGATCGACCAACCTGTGAGCCAATCTTGAACCGGAAGAAAGATCTCAGAGATCCCCCCCTTTTTTGGATCATCACTGAACGTGTCCCCACTGCCGCCAGCTTGTGGGTTGGCGCTCCCTAGTTTCGGGGATGAGTGGGTTCGTGGCTTTCATGGCCCAGACTATTCTGGCACCCCAAAACTCAGTCAAGTGGGTAACTTCACAACCTTTCTGCGGGGTAGCGAAATCACTCGTATGATCCTCTAGTACCCTTGCAACTAACTCCCTTGGCTCTCCCCTGATAGGCTAGCTGGACAGCAAATGTCGAGCCCAAGGTTTCCTGGCCTACTTCTTGGTGCTCGGTTGCTGGCAGCGCATGCGGCAGGTGGCAGCAGGGGTCTGGTATCCCATATCTAGGTAGGCCTTTGGGATCTTCTTTAACATTGGGTTTCAGAGGATCTCTTCTGCAGGAATATCTTTCAGAGGGTTGTATGCCTGGGCCAAACCAGGCGTGAGTCCAGTAGCGCCGCCATATCTGCTTCTGCCGTGCGCTTGGTTTGTTTGCGATCCTTTCAGAAGCTCAGCCACAGGCCCTGCATCGCACACAGACCATCTTCCTGGACAAGCTTTGTATCGCCCAGCACGACGAGGCTCTGAAGGAGAGGGTGCTTCCCTTCTTCATGTTCGGTTGCGTTGGAGCACGCTCTGCTTTCCTGCAGCTTAGGGAGCATCTGTGCAAGTCCTTTGAAACACCATCCCATGTTATTTCGGCTTCAAGTCAGAAGCCCAGATAAATTCGCGGCGTTGCTTGGAAGGTGAGAGCAAAAGAAGCGAAATCCGTGCTAGATGCGCCTGCTGCTCTAGGAATGGCAGGGGCTTCTAGCCACAAGCAACGAAACCGCAAAGCACAAAGCCTTCATGCTACAGCCGCTCGAGATGATGCAAAGTACAACTTTGCACAACATCCCTGCAAGGAGCACCGTCTTAGAGACAGACGAAGTCCCATAAACCTTAAGACCCCGAGAAGCCCCAAGCCATAAGCACTCAACCCCTAAAGCGCGAAACAAACGCTTGAAACCCCTAAACCCCGAAAAACAAAGTTGAAGCCTTAAACCCTAAACCCTAAGCCCTAAGCCCTAAACCCTGCCTCGAGGAGAAGGGCATCCTCGGGTTGGCAGCCTTCCTCCATCGCTCGGACAAGCTGCTGGTGCCCCGCATAAACAAACCTTTACCTTATGAAGACTTCTTGTTGGGTTTAGGGTTTAGGGTTTAGGGTTTAGGGTTTAGGGTGTAGGGTTTAGGGTTTAGGGTTTAGGGTTTATTTTGCGACTTGTTTTTTTGGGGGGAGGGGGGGTGGGTGGGTGGTAGGCCCAAGTACGACGCTCTGACTGGTTCTTGGGGAGATCCAACATAGCCCTTCATGTTTTGGGCAATTCTTAGAAGCCTGAAATCAGACTGCTTGAACCCCAACGCAAGCCATGCTTAAAGGATCATGGAGCTTAGTTAGTAGGGCTAGGGGTACATTGCAAGGGGTTACAAGTAGCTATAACCACGGCTACGCTGATGAAAGCACTGAGTCCCCTGATCCTTTACTAAACCCTACCCCCTAACCCCTAACCCCTAACCCCTAAACCCTAAACCCTAAACCCTAAACCCTATACCCTATACCCTATACCCTATAACCCTAAACCCTAAACCCTAAACCCTAAACCCTACTTACAAATTCCCATGATCCTTTAAGTGGACTGCGACTGCTCGGGCGGGCAGCAGAGCTATTGCCCCCACGTTAGGGTTTTTTGGGGGCATATATGGTTTATAGGGTTTTTGCGGTGTTTAGTGTTTTTTGTTAGGGTTTATAGGGTTTGTAGGGTTTATGGGGTTTATGGGGTTTATATAAGCCCTCCCTTCTGAAAACCCTGGAGGCCCTCAAACTGGCAAGCCATCCAGGTGCTCTGGTCCCCACGATACTTTGCGAGCCCTGCGGCTGCGAGGTTTAGGGTCTGTGGGGTGTATTGTTCGGTTTGGGATTTTGGGGTTGAGGCCTAGCGGCTTGATACTTCGGGCTTAGGGCACAACAGATGCCCTTTCTGCACTGGCCAGTCGCGGGCTTTCGATTCCCTAAACCCTAAGCGGTGCTTAGACTTGTTGGGCGTTAGGGCCAGCTCTACCCCCCAGCTCTACCCCCCCCCCCCCGAACACGAGGACTCTGGTGCGTGTACGAGATTGCCACCTTCATGAAGGACGCGTTCGAGAATAAAGAGCACCCGACCATAAACACAAGCTAACCTCAACCTTCAACCTCAAACTCCCAAAGCCTTATGCCCCGAAACACTAAACCCTCGAAGCTCCTTAGCCCTAAGCCTGGGGATCAACGATTAGGCAGCCCCAAACTCCCAAACCCTAAAACCCGAGAACCCCAACACCAACAAACCCCGAAACCCCAAAACTGCCCCCGAGAGCCAAGACCCTGTGAAGGATCGCCACCGTGCCAAGTCGATCCTGTTCATCCCGGCACCTGCCTCTTCAACGTTGAGACCTTTTTGGCTTTGTGGATGTTGAGGGTTCATAAGTATCTTTCGGGCGTTTCCCTTTTTTCCCCGGCTTTAGGGCGTTTTTTTGGGTTTAGGGGTTTAGGGAAGGTAGGATTTTGCGGGGTTGGGGAAGTTGTCGAAGCTTCACAGGTTCAGAGCAGGAGTGCACAAAAGGCGAAGGACGGCGTCAAGCCCCCGAACTGTTGTCGCAAGTGAGGGTTCTGGGCTGAGGGTTCAGGGTTCAGGGTTCAGGGTTTAGGGGTTTAGGGTTTAGGGTTTAGGGTTTAGAGTGTTAGAGTGCTGCCATCTTGCTTTCCCTAAACCATACCGCGCCTCACGGGCTCTCAGGCTCTGCTTTACGCCCGTCTCCAGTTTTCTTTTCACCAAGCTGGCGGAAAGAATGCCCACATAGAAGCTTTCAAACTTTCTGGACAGGGCGGATTAGTCCAGGAACCCATAAGACCCTCAAAGCCCAAAAAAGTGTAACCTGATAACGATCCAGCGCCGCTCATGGAGTTGAAAATCAGGGTTTGGGGAAACTCAGACGCGCCCTTTTGGTGACTTAAGCAATAGAGCCCTCCTGCGCAATAAGGTGAAGATGGCCAGCCTCTTCTTCCTGTACTCCGCGAGCTGGCATGTGCTCACCTACTGCCTCCCGAATACATAAGGGGGCCTTCAGGTTGGGAGGCCAATTTTAGCCTGGGGTACAGACCTCAGGGTTTTGCCCTAAACCCTAAACCCTAACCCCGAAGCCCTAAACCCTGAAAGGGGTCTCCGCATCGTAGTTGCTCTTGTGCTGCGTGGCTTGGCGCCACAAGTGACTTTAATCATCCGATCCCTTCATCGGGACCCCCAAAGACGGAGTACCAGATTGCCTTGAAAGTGGGGGGGGGGTGTACGACAATAACCCCCCAAAAATAGACCCCCCACAGAAGCAGGATGCCCTTAAGATAAGGACCCCAGGAAAGTACGCCCCAGCGTCACGTTGTGCATCAGCCTCATGGGCTCCACGCCAGAATCCTCTGAGGCTTATCTGGCGCATTCTGTGGCACCCTGCTCAACAGCGCTCTCAAAAGTAGGGAAGGCAACCAAGACAAGGGAGTTTCCTGGCCTTTGAAGGCCCCAAAAGGCCCCAAAAGGCCCCTTAAACCCTGCAGGAAGGCCCCAACAGGCCCCAAAAGGCCCCATGAGCCCCAGGATAAGCCCTATCAACGATTGAGAAAGGTTACTACATGGTGGATGATGCTGCGGACGGCCGCTCACTCCTGCAGCAGACCGTCATTGTTGCGCCCGTGTCGCTTGGATTAAATGGGAGAGGGCCCCACAAGTTCTGGTTTGCATGGAGCTCCCCCTAAACCCTAAACCCTAAACCCTAAACCCCCCCGAGGTTTCGGGGTCTCAGGAGAAAGCCCTGGTGCTCGGAGTCGAAAAAACGTCCTTAAACCCTCCAAGCCTTTTGGCACTCTTGTTTGTAGGCACGTTCCCGCGCCGCGCTCAGAAGCGGGAGCTAGCTGGGGGGTTTTGCGCCGCCCTGAGCATGAAAGGGGCTTGCTAAGGGGCACATAAGGAGTTCAGATGACTATGGTGGCTCCTGCGAATTAGGGGTCCTATTTTGGAGGCGAGACCCATGTAGTGAGGATGACCGTATTTGGGTACACGAGGGACAATAGCCATATGGGGTTTACGAATCAAAGGTTCCCGAATTTCGACCCCAGAAATAGTAGGGTTCCCGTCTAATGAGCTCCCCCCCTAATTTCGGAAACCCCCATATTTTGTTCCGCATTCCTCGGTCGCACACTCTTTGGGGAGCCGGAGGTTTGCCACCATCTGCGCCATCGTGATCCCGTGCGCCTATGCCCTGGGCATCGGGATGATGAAGGACCCCGAGCACCCAACTCCCTTTTGCAGGAAATGCCCTTAAAGGGTACTGGGAAGGGTGCCGGGTTGTGGGGAGGGGGTTTGCAGGGGTTTTCAGGTGAGCCCGAAGCTCCGACTCGAGGTAACATGTGCAAGTTGTTCAGCAAGATGGCCTCGCATCCTCATCTTGCCTAGTTTTTGCGGTGCCCCGGCCCAAAACACGGCACATCGCTTTAGGACGGACAACCCCGCGTGTTGCCACCGGAGACATGGCCGATCACCCTGGAGCATCGCAGCGGCTGACACGGAAGTGTCATACACAAGTGACAGAAGAGCTGATCAACGTTTATCAGCCCTTCAGTCGAAAACACCGAAGTACGTCGAAGCAACTCGCTGTGGGTGCTTCTCATCTGGCCCAGACCGGGCCCCTCATTCCCTTTATTCCGTGCTACAGTTCTCATATTATCGGACACTCCTTGACACCATCTCCCTAGGTTTCTGGGATCTCGAACCCATCAACCCTAAACCCCCCTGGAGGACGTCGAGGAGCTGCCTGCCCAACTCCGAAGTTTCGATGTGCGCCGAGCTGCTTGCGCCTGCCACCTTGACTGAGAGAACTACTGTATCTTGGGGGGGGGATGGGTGCAGGAAGCGTGTCAAGCTTGAATTCCTTCATACTCTCCTTCGTGCCCACTTCCTTTCTCTTTCTCTGGCTGGTCTTTTCGTTGCATTGCTCTTCTCCTTTATTAAGCGGGGGCCGGGGTTGTGGGACTGGGCCGTGAGGGAAATGCAAGGGATGCAAGAGCAACCAAAAACATGTCTGATACAGTGCACACGAAGGTCCCCTTTAGGGCTGCTCCTCTAGGGGCGTTGAAGCCGAAAGCTCTTGGGCTACAAAGAACGAGGAGTACTCCCTAACCCTGGATGCCCCAGCTCGACTTTTGCATCGTTTTCGTGTCTCAGGCTGCACTTTTCCGCAGCACCTGCACCCCGAGACCGGACGCGGGATTCCTTGCGACCGGGCACTGGTGCTTCAGCTGACCCACTCCGACGCTCTAAAGCCTCGTAGGAGTACTCACACGCTCAAACTCACTGAAACACAAGGCCAAACACAAACACACGCACACGCGCACACGCGCACACACGCGCGCGCACGCACGCACGCACGCACGCACGCACGCACGCACGCACGCACGCACGCACGCACGCACGCACACACACACACACACACACACACACACACACACACACACACACACACACAGCCACACTCGCGCAACACTCGCGCACGCGCACACGCACACGCGCGCACCGCACCCGCACACGCGCACAGCGCACACGCACACACGCGCGCGCGCAGCGCACATGCACACCCACAGACCACACAGACACACACACACCAACACACACACACACACACACACAGACACACACAGACACAGACACAGACACAGAGAGACACACACACACACACACACAGACACACACACACACACACACACACACACACACACACCACACTCACACTCACACTCACACTCACACTCACACTCACACTCACTCACACTCCTCACACTCTCTCTCTCTCTCTCTCTCTCAAATACCATGATTACTGAGTTCTTACGATTGGTTTACTTAGTGTTTGTTCTTTGTTGTTTTCGGGGGGGGGGGGGGAGGCCTCGGCCTTCTACATGTACTTAGTAGCTGGGTGAACTGCTTGGAATACTATAATCCCCTATAGCGTAGCAGTCACTGTCCCGCTGGTGCCCTAGCTTACGCCTGCAGGGTGTCACATAGTCGTGTCTGAAATATTTGCTCAGGCTTCGTGTTCCTCCGCGGACCTTGAAAGCCATGTACTTGGTTTAGGGTTTTAGGTCTTATAGGGGTTTAAGGTTTTTTTGGTTTGCAAGTCAAGTCTTTTCTGAGAAAGACCCCTGCCGGGGATAACCACACAGAAGTTTGCGATCTATGTCGGAATTTATCGGAATTTAGGTACCTGAGCTTTCCACTCAAGAGCTCCACCGCAAGCCAGAATTGGTGAGTCGACGGTTTCAAGTTCATGCTAAGTCAAAGAAGTTCCTCTCGGGAACGCCCTTTGCTGCAGCAGAGGTGCTGCGCATGCTGCACAAGTGGTACGGCTCTCCCGACCAGGATGAGGACGGCTACCTCGAGCAGCTTGATTGAAATGCCAGACCTCAATGGCTTCTTATGCATTTCGGCTTTGAGGGTCATGGGATGTAGTAAGTAGGGATTTAAGTGCCTTCATTGGAGTAATAAAGTTGTTCCTACACCTGGACAACCTTCACATACCCTAAAGTACCTTAGACCCCGAACCCGACGAACCCCAAACCTCCTTCCCCCCGCCCCCTGGGAAGCTCTGCAAGTTGAGGCAGTTCAACTCCCTGGTGCGCTGCGAGCTGGCACCGCAGATCTTGGGCCAAGTGAACAGGACACCATGCCCCTCAGCACCTGGGGCTCAGCTGGCGTTTGATATGATATGACAATTTCTTTCACCCGTGGCATGCACGACCCCAGCAGCACCATGACTGCCCACGCCAGCTGTTCGCGTGGCAGGCTACTCCTTCTACGTTGTTGCTGCCCCGAACGTGCCTTTCCTCGCCTACTACATCCCAAGGTCCCTTGGGGCAGAATTATGGGGCAAAATTGCGGATCGAGGCGGCCTGAAGACACCCCTTCCGAGGTGGTTTCAGCTTGCGCCTGCCGGCGCAAGCTTCACACACCTTGCCGTCTGGGCCCTTCGCGACTGGGCGGTCATGATTTGGGGTGTTCGGAGGGGCGCAGGGTTTCAGGCCCAAGCGCTCCATCTCGCCGCGCTGCGTGCTTGTCTACCAGACTACAACTCAAGACCCCAGACCCTGAGATCTGAGTGGTCCCTTCTTCCTTTTTTCCACTGTGTTTTTGGGGAGTTTGCAACATTGAAGCAAAACCTGGCGTGCACTTGCTGGTTTGCAGAGGCGCGGGATAGGGATTTCAGCGAAACGGGGCCATCTGGCTTTGGGGATCAGGGTTTGGTTCAGGTTTTGGGGCGTCGCAACCTCAGACTATCTGAGGTTATCCCTGCACATCACGATAGAAGCAAGGTGGGTGCTTGGATAAGGCCAGCTGCCCTTAAACGCCCCCTTAGAACCCTTACAAACCCTGAAAGAGCCCTTAGAGAACCCTCACTTAAACCCTCAAAAGCCCCCCAGAACCCTTGGAACCCTTAAAAACACCTTCGCGGAGCCCTTAGAACCCTTAGGGTTTAGGGTTTAGGGTTTCGGATTTAGGGTTTAGGGTTTAGGGTTTAGGGTTTAGGGTTTAGGGTTTAAGTAAACCCTTAAGAACCCGAGAGCTGTTTTCAGGTCACCTCATGGGCTGGGCCATCCTGACACTGGTTGCGCTCTTCTCAGCTGCTTGGTGCCCTTCAAGTTGTCTGTTTTTGGGTTTTTTGGGTTTGGGGTTTAGGGTTCAGGGTTTAGGGTTTAGGGTTTAGGGTTTAGGGTTTAGGGTTTAGGGCTGGGGTTTTCAGGTGTTCGTGATGTTGGGGGAGGAGGGTCCATTCAAACTTAGCGAGCCTAGCTAGGGCACCTTGGTTGAGCCTTTCAAGTGCTAAGCGTTCACTCGGTTCAGGGGTTACGGCATTTGGTTGTGGCTGAAGTCTTGGGCTTGGGCTTGGGAAGTGCTGCGTCCAGCTTCCACCAGCCGCATCACTAAGCCTACAAGCCTGCCAACCTTTAACCCTAAACCCTAAACCCTAAACCCTACACCCTAAACCTTAAGCTTGTACACACCACTCCAAGGTGCGAGTGTCAATGTTCCTGTGGCAGGCCAGGACCCTTGTGCTGATTCTACCCGAAATGACTCAGAGAGGACCCCCTTATTTCCCTTTGTTGCTATGACATCCATTCAAAATCCATTCTTGTGGCAAAGGGTGCGCATTCTTCGCCTGCCTGCCAGTCGCTGAAGTGGGGTTCAGGGCGCCGATGCCCATCATCACCAGTCCTCCGCACTGGGTGTAGGGTGGAAGCAAGAATTCCTGCGATCCTCTCGGCGCATACTGTGAACCCGAGCCAGGTGGGCCTCAGCCTCTCCCTCAAGCGATCCAGGCTCCTGGTGTCCGCCGCGCTGGTGCCGGCCCCTCCTTCTGCAGAGGTTTTGGATCCCTATCGCATCTGCTGGCGGAGGGTTTGGGAGACTCAATCTGCAGGGGGCTTTCCGCGACCGCAGCCTGAAAGCGATTAGCCCCAACTTCCCGGTGGCCATAGCATTCAAAATATGGGGGGGGTTTACGAGAATCAGTGGACTTTTACATAGTCCCTTAAGTAGAAGGATCCCCTTATGAAGAAGGACCCCCCAAATAAGGTGGCCCCCTATAACATCGCAAACCCCCCCATATGTAACCCGAGATGTTTCTTGTGTAGAAGGATGCCCTTATCAAAAGGACCCCCAAATAAGGTGGCAACCTATAACATCGCAAACCCCCATATGTAACCCGAGGTGTTTCTTGTGGAGTTTTTCGGGGCACTGTGGGGTTCTTGAGGTGATGCTGGTGCTGGGTGCCTCCGCTTGGCTGCCCTTCCAGATAACCTTTGCGGTGACCGAGGAGCCCTCCACTAGGGACTAAGGCGACTAAGGGTTGAGGGGTTGAGGGGTTGAGGGTTTTGGGGTTTGGGGTTTAGGGTTTAGGGGTTTAGGGCTTAGTCGGGTTTAGGTTCCCAAGAATCGAGTTCTATAGGCCTGGGAAGTGGTGGTGTGGGCATCCCCTTTCGAGCTTGCCCGGCAGAGTTAGGGGGTTCAAGTCTGCGAGGAGGATGACATCCTGCCCATCATCCCCTTCGGCGTGCTGGTGGTCATCGCACCCCTGACTTGTTTTTGGCCCCTTAAAAACAGGAGGCCAAAAAAGACAAGTTTTTTGGAGCTTGTGGCCGCTTCATCGAAACACAAGTACCGCAAGCCATGAAACCCTACCTGGCCCTACCTCCCATCTCAGGTCCTGTACCTCTACCGCCCGGCCAGAGGAATGACCGCAGACGAAGCCCCGCCGCAGGCGCACGGTCAAGAACTAGGTAAGGCCTTTGGGTGTATTTCCTCGTGCTGGGCCTCTTTGTGCCGGATCAAGAAGGAAGAGAGGCGAAGTACAGCAACCACCGCTGCGGCTCATATACACTCTGGGTGCATGCCCTCAATTCCCTGAGAGCACTCTGAAGTCCGGAAGCAGAAAGAATCGAATTAGCTGCAACAAGGCCAAAGACACGAGCCCCGTTGAGGGCTCCTTAGGCCGGTCTTCTCCCAAAACCCCCACGCTGAAGCGCAAGCCTTTTAACTTGGCCCGCAGGCGAGGTGTGAGCCTGAGAGGTCTGGGAGCGTAAGCTCCAATTTTAGCATTTGAGAAGGCTTCGGCTGGGCAACAGGGCCGTTCGAGCGCCCCAGCTCCAACCTCATAAAGCCCTCAGCTCCCATAGTTTTTGGGTACTGTAGTTCCTAAGAAACAGCCAAAGTTGTGTTTTTGTTAGGGTTTCAAGGCTCTTCGCGCTTCCGTGGCGACCTGTTGCAAAGAGCCCCCCCAACTACGCGTGTCAAGAAAATGCTTGGCGAACGATCCCAAAGGGGACGACCCGCGGTGACAGCTAATGCTGTTTCGGAGGCACGTGTGACTTTAAGAAAGAAGAAGTAGGTTGAAGTGACTTCTGGCAGGCCCGGTTGTACTCCGCGAAAGTTTGCGGGGTCAGCTCGGGGGAGTTTAATTTTTTGTCGGAAGTCACCAACTGAACCCTCGAAGGCACCGCAAGGCTTTGGCTTCGGAAAAGCGTTTGGGGCTTCGGGGCTTCGGGGCCTTCTGGAGCACCAAGAAGAGCATCAGCACCATGTTTCTTACGAATATCAGGCTAAGTGCTGGTGAAATGCAATGGTTCTCTAACTTCGCATACTGTTCCTCCTGAAGATTTCAACGAGAAACGAGATTTTGATTTGAAGGGAGGTTCCTGAAAAACCGAGTTGGGCATCGAAAAGTAGAGTTGGAGGTTAGTTAAACATATTAGCTCCAGGAAACGTGCGTGCGATGAAGATGAATCTAAGGCGCAGGGTTTGAAACTCAGGAGGCTGGCTAAACCACTCAAAATTTCCTTCGTATGTAAAGGAAGTGTTTGCGAGATTCATGTTTGGAGGGTTTGTACTGGCCCAAGGGTTTAGACGTTTCGGTTGGGGGTTGCGGGCAACGGGCCTGTGGCTAAGGCGGTGCTGGCTTGGGTAGGGTTTTTTAGTTTTTGTTTATGTAAAACCCAAGAGGATATTGTAAATTGTTGTTTTAAGGGGAGTATAGGTTTGGGGCTGGGGCTTGTAGGGCTTGGCGGCATCTGCAGCTCTCGTCACACACGTGCACCCCAAACTCCTGAACCCCCTAAAAGCCCACGGTGTAGGTTGAGGGTGTTGAGGGTTTCTTGTTGAGGGCTCAGGGTTTAGGGTAGAAGCCGTCAGTCCGGGTCCAGCAATTTTTTCCCCAGTGTGGCGTCCTTTCTTCCCGGTATGGCGGGCCCCCGTGGTCCCGTGACTCTGCGGTTGGTCTTTTTCTTGGGTGTCCCTTGTTTCCTAGATGTGGCGGGGTTTTTGGTGCCCTGAGCCCTTCAAAGCGCGTCGTGCAAAGCACCTGTTTCGGTCTCAGTCTCCGTGCCGATCGCCTCCGAGAGCCCGCAAGCCTGAGATGAGAAGTTGTTAGTAACACTGCAGGGAGTTCGGCATGACTTGCGGATTCAAAACCCTGGGATGACTTGCGGTAGCTTCTTGAGCCTTGAAAAGTGTCCGGCCCATCACTCGAGCGAATTAGGCCAACTAAGCATTCCCCCCTCTGTCTCCTAGGTTGCTGGGAACCTAGTTCTCCCCGTCAATGTCCAGAAGGCCCTCCTCATAGAAAAGTTGCGCTGCGCCCACACGAGCTGCGATGCGGACCTGCGATGTTGGCTCCCACCTCGCCACTGGCAGAGTTGCAGGCCTGCTTATGAGGTTCAGGGTTTAGTGTTTAGGGTTTAGCAGGGTGCAGAATGACCCGGCAAGAGCATGACATCTGTCGCCACCTCACTGAAGAGTTCAACAGTGTTTCACAGCCTTGCTGGTCGAACCCCGCTAGAACCTTTAGGGTTTAGGGTTTAGGGTTTAGGGTTTAGGGTTTAGGGTTTGGGGTTTAGGGTTTAGGGTTTAGGGTTTAGGGTCTGAATCAAGAGCCCTAAACCCCAAAAGCCTCATCCCTCGCTTCACGACTCGGGATCCTCTCCAGCCTTGCACCGCTTCTGCACTCCACACGGTCTTTCTATGGAAGAGCTGGAAAAAAGGTTTGGGGCTCCTCTTCTGGCATCTTGCCGCCTGACTCCTCTAAGAGCCTGATTCCAAAACCCTTGCATTTCTTGTTCCCGAGGAGGACTTGGCGCCAGAGCTGTTGCGGGGCGTGCCGCTGCATGCGCCTCCGAGCGAAATCTTTCTCTTCCATCATGGTTGAGGGCGTTCGGTGAGTTGAGGCTTTAAGTACAAGGCTATGACTAGGGGTCGAGTTCGTGCTTCGGGCCGAGGGTATGAACTGCAGCGTTTAGGAACTAAGGGATCAGGGCCGGAGGTCTGTGATTCAATGATTCTTGGGGAGTGCTACTGGGATTTCGGCCTGAGAGCTTGCAAGCACTCGCAACAGTAGCCCGAACAAGAGAAAAAGATGACCTTGCTGAGGTCCAGTATCTGAAAAAGACCCCAGAATTGGTCAAGCTGGGGGCCTTTGATTTGGGGTTTTCAGACCTGGGGGGCAAGGCAAGATTTAGGATTTAGGGTTTAGGGTTTAGGGTTTAGGGTTAGGCTTTAGGGTTCAGGAGTTGCTTTGAAGCTGCCCGGTAGAAGGTGGCGCTGAGCGGCTGGGCGAAGCACTGGGGGTCTCCAGACAGCGGCCGCTTCGGCTCCGAGGCTCGCCAGCTCACAGGATTCATCTGTGTTGGCCGCGCGTGTAAATCTAAGGGTTTGGGGTTTAGGGTTTAGGGTTTCGGGTTTAGGATTTAGGGTTTGGGTTTAGGGTTTAGGGTAAGGATTACGGTGCATGGGTCGACGGGGTGTGCCTGCTGCCGAGCTTTGGGCTTTGGGGTTCTTAGCGCCCGTCTCCTTTTCCTTCAGTCTCTGTCCTGGGCCCTTTCTTGCTCTTTTCCATTGCATCTCTTGCGGGGTCGCTTCAAGCTGTGGTCACCCTAAACCCTAAACCCTAAACCCTAAACCCTAAACCCTAAACCCTAAACCCTAAAGGCCCTAAAGCTCACCCTATTCATCCAGCATGGTCCGCCTCTGTGGCCCATGCATTCAAATTGAAAGCCTGGGCCATGGTCCCAGGAGCCTGTTTCTGCTGCAGGCAAGAGTGGGTTTAGGGTTTGGGGTTTGGGGTTTAGGGTCTAGGGTTTAGGGTTTAGGGTTTCGGGTTTAGGGTTTAGGGTTTAGGGTCATCCTTCTGGACAGGCCACGAGCTATGAACTCAGCGTGCCCTGCGCGCACTTCGGTGCCCTGCATGCAGACTTCCCAGAACCTTCAGCCTGGGCTTATGGGCTTAGGGAGGGAGTTTAGGGTTTAGGGTTTAGGGTTTAGGGTTTAGGGTTTAGGGTTTAGGGTTTAGGGTTTAGGGTTTAGGGTCTATTAGGCTTGGGCTTTAGAGGCAAAAAAGGTCCTCTGCGCAAGATTCCTGTCGTCCCTGCGAACCACACTGCACTGCCCACTGGAAGCCGAGCAAGCCATGAAAGCTCCGCAAAAACTCCACGCCCTGAAGCCGAAGTAGATGGCTTTACAAAAGAAAGGGTCAGGGGTTGAGGATTTCCAATAAAGAAGCCGAATTAGTTGGCAAGAATACAGTTTTGAAAAGGAAAGGGTTAGGGGTTTAGGGTTTCAAATTAAGAAGCAGTCCCTGAAAAAGGCTATTTCCTCAGCCACGACTGGGGCACGCCACGGTTCCAGAAGCTTCTGTGCCTGCGCCTGGGCATGTGGGATGGTGTGAGGGTTGAGGCTGCTTGGAAGTGTTTAGGGTTTAGAGTCTGCGGGTTTCTGGTGTAGTTCATGCATCCCCTCTGAGACCCCTAACAACCGAACCGCCGACCCAACTACCCCTACATTCGCTCACCCCCAAGTACGTAGAGTCTCATTAGTACTCCAAGATGGCAAGCACAAAGTGGGAGGCAAGCAGGGGGACAGGCAGACAAGTGGGACAAGTGGGCTGGTCATCTCGTGACTCGGTCTAGTGGCTGCATGGCTTGGGAACCCTTGCAGCACAGCTGCTGGGAAACGTGGGGCTCACGAGCAGAAGAGACCATGAATAGGAACACCAAAATAGTAGGAACCCTTGTAACTGAGGTACTCCCGAACCTCAACACCTTAAACCGACATGCGGCTGAAACTACTGACACCAAGAGGCCCAGAAGAACACCTTATTTTCTGCCCCTAGATTCCCCAAAAGCAAGTTGAACGTGCCCAGGCTGATTGTCTTCAACTCCCGCGCGGCACTGCTGGCCTCCCTGGCAGCCAGCGCCTGCGTTGGCTTCCTCGAGGTTTTTGTGGGGGGAGTGGGGGGGGGGGGGGGAGCTGAACACTAACACCTAATCTTGGGATCATCTACGCCGCTCCTTTAAAGGGGCGGTTGGGGGTATGCAGCTCTTTGTGGGCTTCAAGGCTTGAGTAGAGCTTTCGGGTTCAGGGCTTATTTATTGTCGTCCCTTATTCTCAAAAAACCCGCAAGAAGGTCAACAAAAGCGGAGGAGAGCTGCTAACGCCCGGAATCCTAGAACCCTAAACTGCTAAAAACTCCAGACCCCAAACTCCCAAGAAGCCTATAAGGAGAATGCAAACCCCCCAACAAACCCTCGAAACACACCCTAGCCCTAAACCCCTAAGCCCTGAGCCTATATCATTCAACCTAACCCCTACACCCCAAACTAAAACTCTACGCCAGCTGGACAGGCATGGGTTGGTCTTCCCATGAACCTCTGGACCCCCTGCATCGGCTACCACGACGCATTTTGTGGGCGCTAACGACTTGCTTCCCCGCGCTCTTCACGTTTTTAGGGTTTCTGGGTTTCTGGTATAAGGCTCAGGGTTTTGAAGGTTTTCGGGTTTAAGGGTTAAGGGCTTCTGGCCTAAGGTTCAGGGTTTTAAAGGCTTTGGGGTTTCGGGCTTCGGGTTTTAAGATTCTGCAGGGCTTTTGGCCCTTGTTCGGCTTATCCAGGTTTATCCGTATGGGTGTGCAGATAAGAGCCCGGGGTGTTTTGCTTCAGTTTCAGCCCGAGACTTGCACAGCATCGACGCTTTGCCCGGACCTCCCGCACCCCGCAAATCTGTGAGCCAATCTTGAACCGGAAGATAGCTGGGGGGTTTTCCGAAATTCGGGATACCCTACTGGGTTCTTTATCATACGGAGATCCTACTATTTGGGGGTCTATATTCGGGGTCCCTTATTTTCGTAAACCCCCAGATGTCAGAGAGGCTCCTTTTCTTGATCACCACTGATCGTGTCCCCACCCTCGCCAGCTTGTCTGTGGCCTGGGCTCCCTAGTTTCGGGGTTTAGTTGGTTCGTGGCTTTCATGGCCCATGCTGTTCTGGCACCACAAAGCTCTCAGTCAGGTGCGTAGCAGCACACTGCTTTGTGCGGGGTAGCGACATCACTCGTAGAATCCGCAAGGTGGAACTATATTCCTGTAGGAGGCGAAATCCCTTAGTTGTCCCCTACAGGCAAACTGGACAAGCGAAAGTCAAGCCCAAGGTTTCCTGGCATACTTCTTGGTGCTCGGTTTCTGGCAGCGCATGCGGCAGGTGGCATCAGGGGTCTGGTATCCTGTAATCAAGGACTTATTTTTTCATTTTGGGGGTTCGGAAGATCTTTTTGCGGAAATGTCTTTCACGAGAGTTTTAGGGGCCAATCTAGAACATTGCCCCAAAGTGTCAGCGTAGCAGCCCCGCCACATCTGCTTCTGCCGTGCGCTCGGCTTGCGACCCTTCCAGAAGCTCAGCCACAGGTCCTGCACCGCACACAGACCGTCTTCCTGGACAAGCTTTGCATCGCCCAGCACGATGAGGCTCTGAAGGAGAGGGTGCCTCCCTAAACCCTAAAACTTTGAAGGTGGAAGCAGAAGAAACGAAACACAAGCAACGACGGAAGCCGCGAAGCACGAAGCCTCCATGCTATAGCCACTCGAGATGTTGCTGCAACTCTGCAAAACATCCCTTCCAGGAGTACCACCGGAGAGACAAAGGAGGTCCCATGAACCCAAAACCGCTAATAAAACTCCCAACAAAAGGCCCTGAACCCCTGCGCCCAAACCCCCCAAAGAACTCCCCCAAAAAACCGCCTAAAGCCCCTACCACCCCCTAAACACTCCCAAACCTACAGCCTAGAAACCCCCTAAAAAAATCCGAAAAAATTCCTGAACCCTGCCTGCAGGAGAAGGGCATCCTCGGGTTGGCAGCCTTCCTCCATCGATCGGACAAGCTGCTGGTGCCTCGTGGCGAGGTACACGCGAAGCCCATTTACTTACTGTTGGTTAGTAGGGAATGAGAGAAAGAGGTACCCTAAATCCTCCCGTTTGTACCCTTTAAGGGATCATATAGGGTGCCCCATTCCCCCTGCTAACCAACAGAAAGTTTCCCCCCCCCCCTCCCCTCCTCAAAACCCTAAGGCCCCCTGAAGCTGGCAAGCCACCCCAGGTGCTCTGGTCCCCACGATACTTTGCGAGCCCTGCGGCTGCGAGGTTTAGGGCCTATAGCTTGGGATGTTCCCCCTGATACTAACAGCCCTTATTTGGGATTATCATAGGGGGTGCTATAATCCCGATTGAGGACTGTTAGTATAAAGGGGGAACGGTTGAGGCTTTCGGCGTTGAGGATCTGCGGATTAATTAACTTCGGGCTTAGGACATAAAAGATGTCCTCTCACTCGCCAGTCTGCTCGCGTCGGCCTTCGAGCTGAGGTACCCGGGTTCGGGGGGGGCACCCCAATCCCTAAACCCTAAACTGTGTTTAGAGAGGAGTCTCGGATTCGAGCTCTAGAACACGAGGACTCTGGTGCGCCTACGAGATCGCCACCTTCATGAAGGACGCGTCTGAGCATGAAGAGCATCGTCAACCTGAAGCTCCTCAAGCCTTCTACAACCCCGCGACACTGCACCTCGGGTTCAGCCCTGAAACCCCCCCCAAACCCCCCAAACCCCCCCCAAACCCCCCCAAACCCCCAAGAAAAAAAAAAAAAAAACAAGAAACTAAATGGCGCAGCCCAAACCTGAGACCCCGAACCATCCCCAAGCCAGCAAACCTTAAGACCCCCGGCCCTAAACCCAACTAAACCCAACTAAACCCTCAGCAAACCCTACAATAAACCCTCAACTGACGAGCCCACAAAGACAGCAGGATCGCCAGCGCGCCAAGTCGATCCTGGTCATGCCGGCGCCTGGCTCTTCAACGTTGAGACCCCTTTGTTTACGGATGTTGAGGGTTTGTAGCGTCTATTTCGGGTTTGGAGGTTGAAGGTGTTGGAGTTTAGGCTTTCGGGTTTATGAATGTTGAGGGTCTTTAGGGTCTATTAGGGCTTTTAGAAGGTTCAGAGATTTAGGCTTTTGAAGGGTTTCGTGGGTTTGGGCAAGTAGTCGAGGCTTCATCAGGATAGGGGTGTAACGAGGGCGGCTCCCAAACCCCCAAGTTCTTGCCACAAGTGAGGGCTCTGGGCGGAAGGTTTAGGGTTTAGGGTTTAGGCAGGGTTTAGGGTTCAAGCCGCACGGCTCTCAGGCTCTGCTTTGCTCTGCAGCTAGCTTCTCGTCTCCACTTCACCCAAAACTGGTGGGATGAATTCCCACACAGACTTTTTTTCAGCATTTTTCACGACAGGGCTGGTTCGTCCAGGAACCCTTAAACGCCCCTCAAAGCCCTAACCCTGAACCCTTCTACGTCGATCCAGCGTCGCCCAGAAGCACGCTGAGTGGGAGGTTCAGGGAAGCTGAGATGTGCCCCCTTTTGGTGACTTAAGTAAGGTAGCCCTATAGGTATGGAATTTTCCTTTTGGCCGCTGCGTAGGCCTAAGATCCTCCCTGCGAAATTGGGGTTCCCGTTGCGTGCTTCCTGCGAAAGAAGGTGAAGATGGCCAGCCTCCTCTTCCTGTACTCCGCGAGCTGGCATGTGCTCACCTACTGCCTCTCGAATACATCCATAAGGGCTTCAGGTTTGGAGGCCATATCTAGCCTGGCCGCCACGTACACCTGAAAAAGAGTCCTTGTAGACGCCCCTTCTTTTAGAGCCTGCTCATTAAGCCAGTCGGGCATTAAAAACAGGCTACTACATGGTGGATGATGCTGCAGATGGCCGCTCACTCCTGCAGCAGACCGTCATTGTTGGGCCCGTGTCGCTTGGATTGGTTATGTGAGTGAGAGCACCTTGGATGAAGGGGGCATCTTATCGAGGTTCTAGATCTATATATACACTTATTCTCGGAATCATCCCCATATCAGTGAAGGGCGATACAAGCCCCGGATGGCATGGAGTTGACGAGCCTCGAGGTCCTCACTTCCTTCATCCTTCCAAGTCTTCTGCGCCATCTAGAGCCCGAAAAGGGGTTCATGTAGGGGACGGTACGGGGTTTCCATCATGAGTGGTTTTTACGTGGTTGCGGGGGTGGGAGGAGGCTTCCTGCAAATTAGGGGTGGCATCATGGGGATCCCAAACGCGTCGGTCGCACAAGTTGGGGAGCCGGAGGTTTGCTGCCATCTGCGCCATCGTGATCCCCTCCGTCTATGCCCTGGGCATTGGGATGATGAAGGACCCCAAGCGGCCCGCCCAAGCCAAACCACTTGAAAATTGCAAAGTGTACTACCAGAATGTGAATAAGTGCGAGCGAAGCGAGCGAAACACCAGAGTAAATTCAACAAATTTAACTGATCAAGTGTTGATTTTGAGGGCTTTTTTCGACATTTTCGGAGACTTCAGAAATTTTGAAAATTCGTTGAATGGTGCAAGGCACCCAACCCCTCTTTTGCGCTGCTTAAGGTCCTTGTCTTGTCATCTCCCTCGTTTTTGGGGTGCGCCGGCCCAAAAAATGGCCGGAGACCAAGCCGATCACCCTGAAGCATCGCAGTTGCAGGCACGTGCGAGAACACCGAAATACACCGAAACAACTCACGGTGGGTGCTTGTCATCTGGCAGGAAGAATGACTTGGGACCCGGACCGGGCCCTTTATTTCCTTTGAATACTCCGGGCTACAGGTCCCAATGTCGGAATCTCCTTTTACAGCATATTTGTAGGTTTCTGCGATCTCGAACCCATCAGCCCTAAAGCCTTCTGGAGGACGTCGAGGAGCTGCCTGCCCAACTCCGGAGTTTCGATGTGTGCCGAGCTGCTTGCTCCTGCCACCTTGACTGAGAGAGAACCCCCCCTCCTATGAAGACCGCTTCTGAAAGAAAAAACTGCCATTACAGCACAAGACCATAATTTCTGGAATCTTCGCACGTAGAAGTCTATTTGGTTTATTTGCTGTCATGGGGGGGGGGCTCAGGAAGTGTGTCAAGCGTCAATTCCTTCGTACTCTCCTCGCTCTCTTTGTTGGGCTCTTTTCGCTAAACCCTATTGCCCTTCGCCTTTGGTTGGCTCTTTCCACAGGGAACTGGGCCATTGGGGAGCTGCAAGAGGTCTGCACGAAGGTCCCCTTTACGGCTGGTCTATAAGGGCGCCCCCAAAAAGCCTAGAATCCCTGGAAGAGCACAGCAGGAGGCATGTGGCAGTTGAAGCCGCAAGCTTTTGGGCATACAAAGGGAGAGAGCGGTACTCCAGTACTACGGCCCTAACACTTATGAATGACTGGCCCCTGAACTCTACCCCTAAACCCAAAACCCTAAACCTCCTTTTCGTGTCTCAGGCTGCACCTTTCCGCAGCACCGGCACCCCGAGACTGGGCGCCGGATTCCTTGCGACCGGGTGCTGGTGCTTCAGCTGAATCCCCCACTCCTACGCTCGAAAGCCTCGGAAAGTACTCACGCACGCACGCACCCACACGGACGGAACTATCACGGTCTCGTCCGCTTCTGGGGGTTTTGGGCTCTCACGTTCTCGTGCGCTCCAAAAAATTTTGGGTTGTCACCATCTCGTCCGCTTCTAGGGGTTTTGGGCTGTCACGGTCTCGTCCGCTTCTGGGGGTTTTGGGCTCTCACGTTCTCGTGCGCTCCAAACAATTTTGGGTTGTCACCATCTCGTCCGCTTCTAGGGGTTTTGGGCTGTCACGGTCTCGTCCGCTTCTGGGGGTTTTGGGCTCTCACGTTCTCGTGCGCTCCAAAAAATTTTGGGTTGTCACCATCTCGTCCGCTTCTAGGGGTTTTGGGCTGTCACGGTCTCGTCCGCTTCTGGGGGTTTTGGGCTCTCACGTTCTCCTGCGCTCCAAAACATTTTGGGTTGTCACCATCTCGTCCGCTTCTAGGGGTTTTGGGCTGTCACGGTCTCGTCCGCTTCTGGGGGTTTTGGGCTCTCACGTTCTCGTGCGCTCCAAAAAATTTTGGGTTGTCACCATCTCGTCCGCTTCTAGGGGTTTTGGGCTGTCACGGTCTCGTCCGCTTCTGGGGTTTTGGGCTCTCACGTTCTCGTGCGCTCCAAAAAATTTGGGTTTGTCACCATCTCGTCCGCTTCTAGGGGTTTTGGGCTGTCACGGTCTCGTCCGCTTCTGGGGGTTTTGGGCTCTCACGTTCTCGTGCGCTCCAAAAAATTTTGGGTTGTCACCATCTCGTCCGCTTCTGGGGGTTTTGAGCTGTCACGCTCTCGTCCGCTTCTGGGGGTTTTGGGCTCTCACGTTCTCGTGCGCTCCAAAAAATTTTGGGTTGTCACCATCTCGTCCGCTTCTAGGGGTTTTGGGCTGTCACGGTCTCGTCCGCTTCTGGGGGTTTTGGGCTCTCACGTTCTCGTGCGCTCCAAAAAATTTTGGGTTGTCACCATCTCGTCCGCTTCTAGGGGTTTTGGGCTGTCACGGTCTCGTCCTTTTCTTGGGGTTTTGGGCTCTCACGTTCTCGTGCGCTCCAAAAAACTTTGGGTTGTCACCATCTCGTCCGCTTCTAGGGGTTTCGGGCTGTCACGGTCTCGTCCGCTTCTGGGGTTTTGGGCTCTCACGTTCTCGTGCGCTCCAAAGAATTTTGGGTCGTCACCATCTCGTCCGCTTCTAGGGGTTTTGGGCTGTCACGGTCTCGTCCGCTTCTGGGGGTTTTGGGCTCTCACGTTCTCGTGTGCTCCAAACAATTTTGGGTTGTCACCATCTCGTCCGCTTCTAGGGGTTTCGGGCTGTCACGGTCTCGTCCGCTTCTGGGGGTTTTGGGCTCTCACGTTCTCGTGCGCTCCAAAAAATTTTGGGTTGTCACCATCTCGTCCGCTTCTAGGGGTTTTGGGCTGTCACGGTCTCGTCCGCTTCTGGGGGTTTTGGGCTCTCACGTTCTCGTGTGCTCCAAAAATTTTGGGTTGTCACCATGGTTGGGTGTGCAAGTCGAGTGTTCTGCTGAGAAAGACCCCTGCCGGGGATAGCCACACAGAAGTTTGCGATCTCTGTCGGAATTTAGGTACCTGAGCCTTCCATTCAAGAGCTCCACCGTAAGCCAGAATTGGTGAGTCGACGGTTTCAAGTTCATGCTAAGCGGGAACGCCCTTTGCTGCAGCAGAGGTGCTGCGCATGCTGCACAAGTGGTACGGCTCCCCCGACCAGGATGAGGACGGCTACCTCCAGCAGCTTGATTGACATCTCAGACCTCAAGGGCTTCTTACGTATTCCTGCTTCAAGGGTCGTGGGACCTAGTCAGTAGGGTTATAAGTACCTTCATTGTGGTGAAAAAAGTTAGTCCACTTTTTTTTTCATAAACGATGCATTGGACCATTTTTTCCCCTACCTACTCTGAGTCCTTAGTTCCCCTAAACCCTAAACCCTAAACCCAAAACCCTAAACCTTCTTTTGATCCCTCCCTGTCAACCTGCCCGAGAGCTCCTACAAAAAATTGCCAGCGGGGGGTGCGGCGCTGTGATCTTGGGCTTGAGGGTTTAGGGTTTAGGGTTTAGGGTTTAGGGTTTAGGGTTTAGGGTTTAGGGTTTAGGGTTTAGGGTTTAGGGTTTAGGGTTTAGGGTTTAGGGTTTAGGGGGAAGTTTGTGGCTCCAAAACTTGGAAGCGTATAGAGGAAGTTTGCAAACCCCAAGCCTCCTTGCAATTCCGGGATGCTCAAGCTGAGGCAGTTCAACTCCCTGGTGCGCTGCGAGCTGGCACCGCAGATCCTGCGCCGAGTGGGCAGCGACACCATGCCCCTCAGCACCTGGACCTCAAGCAGCTGGGGGAGGATTGCAAATACCAAATCTGTCGTTTTGCTGACGTTACTGGTAAGACAGTCTTGATTTTCTATAAGGATCATCAGCTTTGGCATGCCCTGACGACCCCAATCACACGCCACGTGCTTGCGAGAAGTAGAAGTCCAAGTCTCTTAACGATTGACCTGCTGGCGTGCCCAGCGTGACAGGCTACTCCTTCTACGTTGTTGCTGCCCCGAACGTGCCTTTCCTCGCCTACTACATCCCAAGGTCCTTGGCGAAAGTGGCTTTTGCAGATCAACCGATTAAGAATCCTAAACCCTAAACCCTAAAGACCCTCCGAGGTGGTTTCAGCAAGCGCCTGCCGGGGAAAGCTTCACACACCTTGCCGTCTGGGCTCTACGCGACTGGGATGCAGTTCTTTGCTGACCTACAGGATAAGGTGGGGGAGCTGGGGGGGTGGGCGGGGGGTGGGGGGGGGGTTGGGGGGGTGGGGGGGGGGGTGGGGGGTGGGGGGGGGGGGGGGTGGGGGGTGGGTGGGGGGGGGGGGGGGTTGGGGGGTGGGGGGGGGGTGGGGGTTGGGGGTGGGGGCGGGTGGGGGGGGTGGCGGGGGGGTGGGGGGGAGTGCCAGCCAGGTGCTGGTTCAACGGGGGTTTCTCAAGGAACCTACTGTAAACCCCGGAACCGCTCGGGTCTCAGTTGGAGTTGTAGACTGGTAGACCCGAAGCAACCTCAGACTTTCTGAGGGTATCTCTGTACATCACGATAAAAACGGGTGGCTTGTTGGATAAAGGCAGCTGCTGGACTCCAACCTGTTGGGTTGATTGAGTTTGGGGTTTAGGCATGCTACCTCTTGGAAGCTCTCATCTTTTTCCAGTTCTCCTTCCACCTGGCCTGGCCTCTTCACAACCATTTAAACCCTTAACAGCCCCCCAAACCCTTCGAACCCTTAGAACCCCAAAAAAAGCACCCGAGAGTTTGTCTCCAGGTCGCCTCATGGGCTGGGCCGTCCTGACACTGGTTGCGCTCTTCTCAGCTGCTCGGTGCCCTTCAAGTTGTCTGTTTTAGGGTTTTTTGGGGTTTGAACTTAAGGTGTCTGTTTAGTTGTTTAGGGTTTAGGGTTTGAAGTTTAGGGTCTAGGGTCTAAGGTTTAGGATTTGGGGTTCGAAGTTTAAAGTTTAGGGTTTAGGGTTGAAGTGATTTTTGGGAGCCATGCAACTTCGCGAGCCTTCGAGGCTGGAACCTCGGTTGAGCCTTCCGTTGCGTACAAACTCAAGCGGTTCAGGGGGTTAAGGCTTTTCGGTTGTGGCTGAAGCCTTGGGCGCGGGGGGTGCGCTGCGACCAGCTTCCAACCTTGAATGACCAACAGAATCAGTCCTCTAAGCCCGCCTCTCCTGATATGGGCCTATGAGTTCGTGCCCTTTGTGGGACAGGGCGGGGGGAAAGGGGGAGGGGGGGAGCCGTGAGGGCGCAAGAGCCAGAATGTACACACCTCTCCCAGGTGCGAGTGTCAATGTTCCTGTGGAAGGCCAGCGCCCCTGCGACCTCTTTAGAGGGTCCGGTTGCCTTATGACATCCATTCAGATCAGGGCGCCGATGCCAACACGAGTGCATGACTGGGTTTAGGGTGGAAGCCAGAAATGGTGCGATCCTCCCGGCGCCTTCATAAGTTTGCACTAAGTTTGAGGCCCTCTGATGTGCTTTCATCGTCCCTTAAACGGTGCCTTGATTTTCCGGAAGTGGGGGAGAGGGGTCAGGAGAAGCCCCAAACTCTGAAGCCTCTCTCTCTCAGCTTTCTACAGCGCCTGGAAGGTGGGGCTCAGCCTCTCCGTCAAGCGATCAAGGCTCCTGGTGTCCGCCGCGCTGGTGCCGGCCCCTTCTTCTGCAGGTATTAAGGGGCGAGGAGGGGATTCAAAGCAGCTTGAAGCTACTCCCCCTAAACCTAGAAGAAAAACCTAACCAGAAAAACCGCAAAGTACATTATCATGGGCTTCAGAGTCTTGAAGGCGAAGGAGCATGAAGAAAAAGTCTGTGGTCGGGGGGCTGTGAGGTGCACTAGAGCCTCTGAGAGTTTTCTGGCATCTGCTGGCTGGGGGTTTGGGGACTTCTTGTGAGTTCCTCTGTGCACCTCGCGCGACCTCAACCTAACAGCGACGTAGCCACCCTGTCGGGCCAAGTGGGCGAGTTACCTGAAAGCAGCCTTGCTTCATCGATTTAGGGTTTAGGGTTTAGGGTTTAGGGTTATGGACAGAGATGGGGCACTTGCGCCACGGGGGTGCTTGAGGTGATGCTGGTGCTGGGAACCTGCGCTTGGCTGCCCTTCCAGCTTGCCTTTGCAGCGACCGAGGAGCCCTCCAGTTTGGGTTGCAGGGTGGTTGAGGGTTGGGGGTTTAGGGTTGAGGGCTGAGGGTTTAGGGTCTAGAGTTTAGGGTTTAGGGGTTAGGCCGCCCAACTCCTCCACGACCCTCTGCAAGACACACGAACTGCCGATATCTGGGTGTTTGGGCAGTTCTTTGATCGGCAAGTCTGCGAGGAGGATGACATCCTGCCCATCATCCCGTTCAGCTTGCTGGTGGTCACCGCACTCTAGCTTGTCTTCAGCCCCTTAAACAAGAGGGACTTGGGGCGTCTGGCCGCTTCCTCGAAAAGATAGTACCCTACGCCAGAATTAAACCGTACCTCCCATCTCAGGTGCTGTACCTCTACCGCCCGGTCAGAGGAATGACCGCAGACGAAGACCCTCCACAGGCAGGCCGAAGATCAACAACTAGGCCAAGCACAGCCACCGCTGCGGTTCATGTACACTCACTCAGCAACGAGTGGACACAGGTACGCGCTTTTGCAAGCACTGGCCCCCACTTCCATGAGAGCACTCTGAAGTCCGAAAGCTTTAAGAGGCCTTCCAACCTCGCAGCAGCTTCCACCATAGGCACCCGACCCCAAAGCTCTGCTGTTGCGCTGCTGCTGTCTCGGTCTTGGTTTTCAGAGTTGCTCCCGGCAGGCAATTGCGTTCATAGCACACTGTGTAGCTGCAACAAGGCCATCCACACGAAATTCAATTTGGGTGAGAGCTTTTAGCCTAACCCATCCTAACCCCTAAACCCAAAACCCCCCGCGCTCAAGCCCAAGCCTTCTAAGTTGGGCCCTTGGCAGGCGAGGTGTGAGTCTGAGAGGTCTGGGAGCGAAAGCTCCATCTTTAGCATCTGATAAGGCTTCGGCTGGGCGTCCCAGGGTCGTTTAGCCCCCTGAGCCCCGAACTACACGCGTCAAGGATATACTTGGCATACGATCCCAAAGTGGACGACCCGCGGTGCAGTGAATGGAACGGAAAAAGCATTCATAGCATATGCTCACTATGCCACGGGGTTTCGGAGGCACATGACCTCTGGCATGAAAAGGTTCAACTACACGAAATTTGAGGTGAGGTTGATGCTGCAGAGAGCTTCTTTGTCAGAAGTGTTGTTGCTGCATTGGGATGATGAAGGATCCCGACGTTTCGATGCCCGTGGGCTTCGGGGCCCTTTTGGGCATCGGGTTTGGGGCTTGGGGTTTCAGGGCCTCGCAAGCCCGAAAGCCAAAACCTAAACTCTTGAAGCGTATTGGTTCCTATGCCCCAGTAGGGAAGTTAGAGAGTTGGGGACCCCTAAAGGGGGACCGAATTTCGTATTTTACTCTTGCAGATTTTGCAAGTGAGCCCCTAACACCCGAAACCCTGAACGGTAAGCCCCTCAGAGTATGCCACACATCCCCAGCACGGGACATCGAAGCCAGCAAAAAGCCGAGAGTCTGCGCGGCTCGAGGCCCCAAGGGGTCACGATCGCTTTAGGGGTCGGAATAAATTGGGGAGGGTATTCCCTGATGGCCCCTGTTGCAAGAAAACTTCAGTATACTCCAACATTCCCCAAAACCTTAGGAGTTCAAGAAGCCCCCTGAGCCCGCGAGCCCTATATCCCCCTAAACCTAAACCCTAAACCCTAAACCCTAAACCCTAAACCCTAAACCCTAAACCCTAAACCCTAAACCCTAAACCCTAAACCCTAAACCCTAAACCCTATGCCAGTCAGCAATGGCATGCTGCACATCGGGGCGCTCGAAGACCCCTCTGCAGCGTTTCGCAGAGAAGCTTCGAGCGGCCGACGATGCCAAGCTTGAAGCACCGGCCCTAGTCAGGGTCTGGGGTTTAGGGTCTAGGGCTTAGGGTTTAGGGTTTAGTGTTGTGGGGTTTTGCAGCGGGCTGATTATAACTCGTCGCGGCTGATAAATTTTGTTGTGCATGTCGAGGCTGCATGAAGAATCTTGCTTTCTTCCAAGGCGTTGGTCGAAATATGGTCTAGTCCCCTGCCTTCACGGGTCGTACTATCCCTTGTAACGCTTGTAAGGCGAGGAGTGTTGAGTGATCAGGGGTCTACATTGTGCTGAAGATTGTAGGGCTTTCGGGTTTAGCTGTTGACGTGCAGAGCTTGGGAGGTCAGGCCCATGCTGCATATATGTGGAACATTGCATGCCACACAGATTCAGCAACCCCAGTCCGAATTTCGAAACCCCCCTGCTAAGACTCTAAACCCTAAAGCTTAGAGGGTCAAAGCAAGCCGAAGGACTGCACAGGAAGGTTCTAAACCGTACTTGATGAACCCTAAGCAATCTGCCTTTTCGGGTTCCTGACTATTTCCCTAGATAAGTCCTTCAAAAGATGGGTTATGGGGCTTTGGCGAGCAGGCTTCTGTTGGATGTTTTCAGGTTAGGAGGCCTGTACGCCCGATTCTAACCTACATCGTCCAGGGGATTCTAGAAATGCCACCGAGGCTGCACCGATGCTCTTCCCCATGTATACCGTTCCGTGCAAGGGCTTGCTTCAGATGACCACAATCCAACCACATGAACAGCTCAAGGTCCGGGCGGGGATGGACTCTGGGTTGGGACTCTGGGTTTAGGGTTTAGGGTTGAGGGTTTAGGGGTTAGGGTTTAGGGCTTAGGGTTTAAGATTTCCGGCTTTGGGCCTGTACTGGAAATTGGGTTTAGAGTCTAGGTAGGGAGAGCTCCCCAAAACTCACCTCCCTGAACTTAGGGGTGGGGAACCCGAAGCCAGAACATCCGCTTGCCGAAGGCTTGGAGGAAGAACCCAGGTTTAGGGGTTTAGGGGCCTCAACACATACCAGTAGTACTCCTTAAGGGTTCCTTGCAGGCAAATTAGTGCATGAAATGGGTTCTCACGTAGATCTGTAGATATATCTGCACCCTTACTTAACCCCATACTTCCCCAGAAGTCCCGAGATCCTTTAGGTAAACCCCCTTAAGAAGGTCGAAGACCCCGATACTTAACCCCAAATGCCTCTGAGCCCTTACAGGCGCAAGGGTGCATCGTCATCCTAAACCCTAAACCCGAAACCCTAAACCCTAAACCCTAAACCCTAAACCCTAAACCCTAAACCCTGAACCCGAAAGGCACAAGGGGACATCGTCATCCATGACCCCAAAATGGGGAAAGCCGCCTTCGTGTCGCACCAGCAGCCTGGGCTCGAAAAGTCAGGAAACCCTAAACCCTAAACCCTAAACCCTAAACCCTAAACCCTAAACCCTAAACCCTAAACCCTAAACCCTAAACCCTAAACCCTAAACCCTAAACGAACCTATGGGTTTAAGGTGAAGGATTTAGGAAGGTTGGGATCAGTTGCTAACTAGTGCTCCGTTGATATCTCAACAAAGGCTCTGTAACGTTGAAATATCGGCGCTTCACTCCCTGGAACTAAATTTCAGTTCAGTTCCATGACATATTCATACCTTCATGGTTTGTGCTTATGTGCCTCGCGTCCCGAAAGAGGTTTTGTCCACACAGGGGCACACCCAGCCTTGTGCCCCCAAAAAACCTCTCCCGAGCGTTTTGCTCAAAACTCCTGGGATCCGATTGGTTTCGGCCTGAGGCCCCAAGACTCTATGTCCGACATCCCAAAACAAAGTTCCTCAGCTGCCCCGGACTCCCCCCCCACCCTATCTGGCAGCACCCCCTGCTCAGCCAACAAAAAGACACAACGCTAAGCCCCGCCAAGCACCCTCTAACAAGGGTTTCACAAGGGGCTTATAAGGATTCTTGGGGGGGGGGGGGGTTCCAGAGTGTATAGGGTTAGAGTTCAGAGGTTTACAGAGTTCGACATCCCTGAGTGGATAGGGTTCTCGTTGCCTTCTTGAACTTGTAAACTCTAGACTAAGAAACCAAGTCCACGCAGTTACCGACTAGTGGCTACTTGATGCTTAGGAATCGCCGGAAGAAGGTGGCCGGCGAGGATCCCGTAAACAGAAAAACGGAATTGGGTTTAGGGTTTAGGGTTCAAGGTTTCTGTGTTAGGGGATATCAGTTCGAAGCATGTGTTTTTCATGGCATAAGGTCTTGCGGTCCCAATGGACCCGCCTGTGAAAGGAGCTTCAAACCCCAGACCCCACAAACCCCTCAAGGCCCTTATAGACGCCTGATGGCCCGTGCTTTCAAGAGGACTAGCATTAACAAGATGCATACAAAGCCCCAAGAATTGCACATTGCCAAGGACAAAAGAGAGAGTGCAGCCGTCTCACCGTGAACCCTGCTGGAACCGTAAGCCTCGTCCTAAACCCTAAACCCTTGCAAAGACTCGTAACGTCGAACGGTGCCCAGGTGGGCTGCTCAAGGCCACCCTGACCCGGAGCTCAAGCAGCTGCAGGTGTTGAAAGATGCCTTCAGGCCGGGTCTTCGAATTCCTTACGGCTCTTTTGGTGTGTTGGTAAATGGCACTGGCCATTCTTTTGGACTTGTTTTGCCCACCTCCGACCTGCTAAGAGAAGTAGAGCATCAGGGGCGTGTGAGGTTTCTCCGATTGCTCGCTAGGACATTTGACATGTTGGGGTGCCACACTGGCGGGAGGCTGCCGGCTGCGCGGCGCTCTTGTCAGAAGCAAAACCGCCAATTCACAGAACTTTCAGTGATACTTGCCCATATATATATATATCCACAAGGCATATTCATACACATCATACTTTATATAAAGAGAGAGAGGGAGATAAACGATAGAGAGAGAGAGAGAAAAAAGAAAAGATAATGCGTGCGTGGGTACATCTGTATCGTTTAGAATCTAGCTTTTATCCGTAGATCGTCTGTGCTTTTTTTTCCATTTTGCTATTGTTCATCCGCATTCTGCTATGTGGCTCTGCGAGAGGCCTTGTCATGGACAATGCTTTTTGGCGCTGATGCTGTCGTTCTCGATGCGTTGATGCGGCATTTTTGGCGTTTCTTGTCACTGTCATGTGTGGTTCGTCTTCGCGGCGGCGTCATGGCCATGGCTACGACCGCAGCGGACATGAAAATGGTATTGCTGATGATGTGATGGTGATGGTGGTCATGACGCAGATGGTGGCGATGGTGATGGTGATGATGATGATGACGATGATGTATCAGTCTCTTTAGTGCTTTTGTGTTGCCCTTCACTCGGTCTTGTGTAGTAGCAGGCACCTCCTGCACGACACGGGCGTCATACCTCTGGACCCAGCAATTGGCCCGCACTGTGGACGACGCTATGTTGTTCGGGTTTTGCTGTGATGCCTGGATCTGCAGGCCATGTATAGTAGGTAGGCCCTTGGGATATTTTAATTTTTTCCCTTATTGGGTTTAAGAGGACCATATTTAGGAATATTTTTCAGAGGGTTTGAAGGGCCATCCATGTATAGTATAGGAGCAAGACTGTATATACAAATCACACTTGCAGGATTGGCTTCATATGAGGGCCTTCAATGTCACCAGGGTTGAGAGTGATTTCATGCCTAGGCCTGGGCTTTAAGGAACCGTCGGGAAGCTGTGGCTTCTTGTGGGATTGGCGGTATGGGCTTCCGGGGGATCATGGGGGTCATGGGATGTAGGGGCTCTGAAGGTCTCACAGACCATGAGCATCTCAACAGCAGCCAAGGTGACGGAAGCCTACGTTCCTACTGCGCCATGCTCCGATTGGACCTCTAAGTTCGACTTCGGGGCTGACGGTAGCTGCGAAAAGGGGAGGGGTTGGGTTGATTTTGGGTTGATACTGTAGGGGTCTATGTTTAGGAGCCCTTGCATATTGAGGGAGGATCCGGTTCTTGTGGGGCCGCTAGTTCCCCCCCCCCCCCCCCCCAAAGCAAACGTGAGTCCCCTTCCCTCTCAACCCTGCCCATCTGTTTCTTTCCAGCGGCGATTCAGGCGAGGCACTTGTCCATGCAAGAGTTCAAGTCCCAGCCGCTGTTCATCTGGTATGATTACTTCTCTTGCCCACAGCTGGGGCAACGGGAGAACAAAAGTGCTGAGGGCAGCGATCTTGCCAGGGCTATTAGCAGCATTCCGGCCTACATCGCCCAATGCTCTTTCTTCCTCGGCCTCTGCCCTGTTTTAACTTGCCAAGATGACAGCGGACTGTTGACGCAAGAAACCTGGAGTCGTCGCGGCTGGTGCCGCCTCGAGAGAGCCCTGCGGGAGTTCTCCTTGGATGATAAGTGGGTTACTTTGGTCATAGTTGGGTAACATTTTACATATTTTGCAGGGTACTTCAGCCCAACAAGGAATATATTTTGAAATGTTCAATACGATCCCAACCATGAGAACTAGGTTCTGGTCAAGAGCCCAAAGTCCATGGAGCTGGTCGGCTCGGCGCTGCAATTTGTGAGCGGCTCCGTGGGCGAAGGGGAGTTTACCGAGGAGGAGGACCGAAAGAAGCTGGCTCCTGTTTTGCGCCAGGCGGTGCTAAGGAAGCTGATGTTCTGTCTGAAAGCTCAAGATCTTCCTGCTTACCGTTGGCATCTGAATCTGCAGAGCGTGTACTTCAGAGGCCTGAGTGTTGAACCCGTGCGTGATATTGTTCCCGGCTATGAGACTTCGAAAGACACAGACCCTGTCGCCGAGTTCTTCCATCAAAACGGCTTTGTAAGTGTACGCGATATCGACAAAGCGGGCTGGTCCCCCCTGCACTATGCGGCCATGAAGGGAGATGCAGCGCTGGTCGACGGCTTGTTGCGGCGGCAGGCCGATCCGAACAAGCGCACAGCCAGGGAGCAGCCGAAGTTGCTAGGATGCTCAGTAGTACCCTTATTCCCTTTTTTGGGGGGAGGTTTAGGTTCCCTTATAAACCCCTTTAAGCAACAAGGGGCACCCTTTTTAAGCCTAGGTTACTGGGCAGCCGAGGTTGGGATGTCCACCCTGGATGTCGGCTCTCGACCTCACCATGCTCTTCAAGCAAAACGGCGCAGCACGCGTGCTCATTGCTGCCCGGGCGAAGCTTGATGGTCCGATCTGCCCACCGCAGAATTATGCGGGGGTCTCAGACAACGCCGAAGGTATGCGCCTCCTCTGTGCCGCCGGCATGGACCCCCATGCACCCGACCTACTCAGTACCCCGGCGGTCAGAGCTTGCTCTGCATATGGATCCATCGCCGCCTTGGGGGAAGTCGTGATGCATTCACCCCCGGATACCATCAGTGTCTCCAGGGCCCTGGTCCTCGCAGTGGCCGGGCGTGTTGCCAAATCTTAAAACCCTGAAAGGCTAAACCTTCAAACCCTGCAACCTGAAGCCCATACCTGAACCACAACCCTAAGACCTTCAACCCTTGAGCCTTCGGTCCTTGTCCTTCAAACCCAAAACCCAGTGCCCTTGAAACCCTTGCAAGCCCTTGCAATCCCTAGAAGTCCTAAAAGCCTTGGGAAAGACCCTTAGGAAACCCTAAACCCTAAACCCTAAACCCTGAACCCTAAACCCTAAACCCTAAACCTTAAACCCACCCTCCAGCCCTACAGGCCGGAGGGGGCGGCACGGCCGAGATGGTCCTCCGACTTCTCGAGCTCAGGGCTGACGTGAACCATCAGTTCGAAGGCCCCCTTCTTCTGTTTGGCGAAGACCTTGGGGCAAAGTTTCGGGCTTCGCTTTTTTCTTATTTGGGTGTCTTTTTTAAGGGCTTAGGGTGCCTTTTTTTCAAGGGTTCAGGGTTGTTTTCGTTATGGTGCCTCCTTGGCGTTTCGCGTTTTTGTTCTTCAGGGTTCCTTTTAGGGTTTCGGTTGAGGATTCCGGCTGCAATGTCCATGGTGTTCCTTAGGATTTAGGGTTCCGGTTCTGGGTTTGCGTTAAGGGGTTTAGGGTTTAGGATTGTTCAGCTCCACGTTAGGGTGATTTTGTTGAAGAGCTGTGGGTTTGGGAGTTGAGGACTTAGGGTTGGTTCGATGATGATCTGTTCTCAGGTCCCCCCCTGAAGTTCTTCAGGATTCTTCAGGAATCTTTGTTCGATTCAGGGTTTAGGGTTCTGCGCTTCCTTGTTCAGAGTTCTTTCGGCTAAGGGTTGGGATAATTTAGTTGGGGCTCCGTTGTCTTCAAAGGGTTTCGGATTTTAGGTTGGTTTGGGGTTTAGGGGTTTCCATTCTCAGGGGTCTATGAAGGGTTCTGTGAGGGTTTCTCTAAGGGAACGCAAACCCTTCTGCTAAATTGCGAAACGCATTCCTTTTGGGGGGTCAAAGGTTTAGGCTTTAGGGTTTAGGGTTTAGGGTTTAGGGTTTAGGGTTTAGGGGGGGCTGGCTTGGAGGTCCAAACCTCGGATCTCCCTTTGGGCTGCTTGTGGCCGCAAAGTCTTTGCAGTGTCTGGGCCGGCTTCGGTTGGAGCATTGTTCAATGAGTTTGGTTTAGGGTTTAGGGTTTAGGGTTTAGGGTTCAGGGTTCAGGGTTCAGGGGTTCTAGTAGAGTGGATTCTTAAGCAATGACCCTAAACCCGAAACCCTAAACCCTAATGAGCAAACAGCATGATCAGTATGATTTTGCAACTTGGCCTTCAAGTAGAGCCCAGGTATCGATGTGGCAGTACCACGGCTTTGTCCTCCTTGTTTTATCACCTGTCAGGGATGACGCCACTTATGGCAGCCGTGCTGACCGCCCACTATGAGGCTGCTGGGGCCTTGATTGATTCTGGAGCCCGGCTGGACCTGAAAAACCATCGAAAGTGGACTGCTGCAGACTTTGCAACTTGGTAGACAAAAGGAACCTTGGACCCGCTGCGGGCACTCTACATTACTCTACATCATCCCTATCTAGCCTCCCAAAGGTTAATATGCTTCATTTATCTTGGGACACTGGAGCAAGTAAGGCAAGAGGGCAATCCCTCCCGCACTTTCTGCTGAGAGGGTTGGAGGGGGACCCGCTGGAATGTCGAAGAGTCACATCGCTCGCATTGGCCACAGTATACCTAGAGATATAGCTGCCTTAGCGAGTTTTTCCCCAGGGAGAGCTTAACATGCTCTTTCCTGCCAGTTTCTGGAGCATTCGCATTGATTTTCCAACTCTTGCATGCGACTTGCAATTCTGCAGTTGCTTCCACGGTGGATTAACCATAAAGGTTTTCCCCGCACACTTGTGTTTAGAATCCTTCTCACGACGCAATTGCCGCAGGTTCTCAGACCCCGTGGTGCCAACCCCGGCTTCTGAAACCGGAAGCCAGGATCTAGACCAGCTGCGATCGACGCAAACAAAAGCCCGTAACAAGGGTTTAGGGTTTAGGGCTTAGGGTTTAGGGTGACAAACTCCCCAGCTGGGCGCTGTTCGGAGCGTACCACGCCACCACGTTGGCTCGCCTCAAACCTCTTAAAACAAAGCCCTAAAAATTGGCCCGTGACTTGGGCTCCCACCCAGAAACGACAAAGTCCTCGTTACTACGGAATTATTCCTGAAATATGATTGCGGCATTTTGGGCTTGAAACCGGCCTTTTTAAACAACTGAAGCTGAATAAAACTGATGCAGGGTATTCGCTATCTAGGGGTTCAGGGCCTCCAACAGTGGAGAAGTTTAGAGGTTATGTAAGGTTGTACGGTTTTGGGATTCCTCGACAGCATCTACGAGGGTTCTATTCGGGTTGTCGAAAGGTGTTGTAGGGTTTTCAGAGTGGTTTGTTGTGGTTTGGGACTTTAGAGAGGGAGGGTTTACGCTTTAGAGCTCAGGTTTCAGGTTTTCAGGGTTTCTGAAGTACGGACAATGGGGACTACTCGGCTGCATCTGTTGCCCGTGGCTGTGGGTTTGGGGTTTAGGTAACCCTAAACCTTTACCGGGTTTCGGCAAGCCAGAAAAAGCAGGTCGGTGATGCTCTTGTGGATTGGGTGTGGATTGGGATCTGGCGGTTTACGGTCTAGGGGGTTCGGGCTCCGAATTGTTCACATTGGACCTATGCTCTATCTAAGCGATGCTCTGTTTAGGGTATTAGGTGGAATCGTTCACCTGGATGTTTCAAGCTTATGCTTTGTTGTCAGAGGAACCTGCTGTAGACACCTGCTGGGTTGGGTAACTCTGCTTTCGTGTACCCACTCGGCTTTCATATTGTGAACGCACTTCCGAAGCTCGTGTTGACATTCTCCCAGCCTTTTGACAGAACTGCGCCTGAGGCCCGAAACCCTAAATCCTAAACCTGACTTCAGTTTTGTGGTCGCAAAACCCAGTCCTGCCTCGCCCTCGCAAAACCTTCGAACATGACTTTGTGGTGCGTTACTGCAACTTGAGATCCTTAGCCAACAACTACCCTCCTAAGGGCAGCCAAGAGGAATCGGGCTTCGGCTTGAGGGTTTGTGGGGCTGAAAGTGTCTTGATCCCAGCCTCGGATACTTCGGGTGGTTCTTTTTGCGCATGGCTTTTGGGAAGCTAGCCCGACGGGCCTACACCCGTTGAACCCTAAAACCCTAAACACGAAACCCTGAATCTTGAACCCTAGAGCTTCTAGCCCCCGACGGCTCGGTTGACCCTTCGGGCTGTAGGGTTTTGGGGTTTGGGGGGTTTAGGGTCTAAAGTTCAGGGTTAGGGTTCAGAAGTTCAAAGGTTTAGGGTTTGGGTAGGGTTTTGGTTCAGGGATTTCATTGTCCAGGGCTCGGGCTGGATGTAGGGGATTCGACTCATCGCTGCACAAACCCGAGCCCCCAACCAGTTAAATGGCTCGCATCGTTTGGTGTCGACAATCACTGTGGCATTGGGCGGTGTTTTCACAGGTGCTTGCGGATGCTAAATCATTGTTTGCCAGTCTGTGGTTGATACCGTGTCAGCCAGTAGCGATATGCAGCGCTGACTGTTGTTGCCCTGGTCCTAATCATCTTGCTAGGTGTCAATGGCTCCAGGTATCCGGATCGTTGGGTCGCAGGTGACCAACTGCGACGTGGCATTGGATGAGACTTTCATGCCTTGCCCAGTTGCACACGCCTTGGACATCCCGCTCATGGTCAAGCGTGAGAGTGGCCCTGGAGCGCACTGCGATTTCCACGTGGCCGTCCGTTTCATGACAGATCCACGGACTGGCTTAGCCCCAATGGACGGGCAGTACGGAGGCATCATGGGGCCAGTCCCCCTGTCATCGCTGCCCGCACAGATGGCATACCCTTCACAAGTGCAGGCTGGGCAGGGCTTGATGATTTCATCACCAGCTTCTTTGACGATGGTCCGCGAAAAGCAACACGCATGCACTTGCATCGCTGCCTCCGGAATAGAGCGGACATACTTGACCTGTCACCTTCCCTTGCTGCACGCTTCCCAAAAGGTCTTCGTGTGAAAGCTGCTAACCTGAAAGCAGATGCCGCCCTCAACGGTACCCTCGGGACCGTGACTGGCCAATACGAGAATGGCCGTGTTGGTGTCAACTTCGCAGGACCCCATGGTGTGAAGGCAGTGAGGCCTGACAACTTGGTTTTGGAAAATGGAGAAGACGTTGAGTTTCTCCCTGAGGGATGAAGAGGAGAGTGAGGATCAAGATGAGGTTTCTGCACATGATAACTTTTTGGAGCAGATGTGGTCAACAATTGACGGTCTTTGCCAGCCAGATGACATCCCCACAGGCACTGTGCAGGTTGCCTATTGGACCGACGGGATCGAGATTGTCCGCGTGAAGCAGGCTGATGGGACTTGGAAGTACCATGAAGAGGATGACGGGCGATGATGCGCATGCTATTTTTTAACCAGAGTTGAGCAGCACAGGCGTTGACAAAGGGTTATCCTCTCTGCAAACCTACCAGGGCGACTCAGACAGCACAAGTTTCGCATCGCCGGACAGAAATGAAGAAGTATTTTCATGGTTGGCAAACCAGCTATAAACCATAGTCCAGTTTAGTGCAATGGGTGTTTTGGCAATTTCCGTTGTAAGACTTTTGTCGATGTTGGCCATTTGAAATACAGATGAGTGAAATTGCAGAACTCTACATTATTTCTAGTACCCATCGATAAATTGAAATGATTTCGAAACCATGAGTTTGAGAATTTGGGAGGATTGGAAAAAGGACATGATTTATTGGGAAGCATTTATATGCCATTATCGGTAAAAGTATTCTTGATATAGATTTCTGTGCTTAATCTTGAAGGATATATTTCTGGGATGATATATTCTATTCTAAAAAATAGAAAGGAAATTCATTTTAATTTGAATTAATTTAGGCATAAATCAACCAATTTAGGCGTAAAGCAATCAATTTATTAGAAAAATTTAGGATAAATTTTCAATTTTTCTAATTTAAATTTTAGAAAAACCATAATCATCTAATAATCTTTATTCTGAAATTTATGATTTATGATCGGGTTATAGAGCTTCGTCTTTATCTTCGCACTTGGATTTGCTCTATATCTACTCTATAAAACGCTACGGTCAAACCAGCCCTATGCGGTGCGTCACGCCTCGGAGTGCCCCAGCCCCAAAATTTTCCGGAAATTTCTGGACCCCGGCGAGCAAGCCGCTTTGGCCTACCCGGGACCCAAAATTTCCGGGAAATTTTGGGGCTTGGGCTGTGCCCTTTGAAAGGCTGGGCCTCTTCGACGGCCGCAAGCCGGATTCGCTCCCCTAAATTTCTAGAAAATTTCTGGTTCCGGGTAGCCCGAAGCCTCGGTCCCTAAATTTCCGGAAAATTTGCTTCATCGCTTTCTTAAATTTTCCGAAAATTTACACACCCAAAATTTTCAGGAAATTTAGGAAACGGATGCAGCCTGATCATGTTCAGAAGCCACGGCCCAGCTCCCTAAATTTCCGGAAAATTTAGGGTGCTGGGTGGCCGAAGATGTCGAAGCATTGTTGACCGCTTGAACCTTTGAGTTCAGGTGTTGATCATTTGCCATGTTGCTGCATGCTTTCATTGCATGCTTTCATTGTTTTCAATCGTGCTTTGTTTTGTGGCATTACAAAGCTAAAATATTAAACAGGACTTTTACTTCACTTCCAAGATGAGCGCATCACCTGGCATTACCAGGATATGACGAGCGTGCTTTGTTTTATGGCATTACAAAGCGCATTACCTGGCATTACCAGGTCGTCGTCGTCGTGCGTCGTCGTCGTCGTCGTCGTCGTCGTCGTCGGCGTCGT